GTTGGAGTTTCTGCAAACAAACATGGCGCCATGGAGTCATACCAAATGGCCACATGAAGGACTGCAGACGGTTTTTGAGGGGTCAGGAACACATCCCCACATGAACAGCCGACTCCCCGATTTCGGAGAGTCATTCACGTAAAAACATGTTATCTGAGTCTCTGAAGGCAGATCAACCGCTGCCGTTTTCCACTTCAGGCTCAGAGCCTGACATGTCATCTAAGATGAGCCAAACCTTGCCAGCCTCCTCCCAAACAAAAGATCGAACCATTAATTACCTGGACCCGAACTTCAAGCACCGAACATGAGACCTAACACAAAAGTTCGAACAGTTCTACCAGCACCCTCCTGTCGGGGTGTCTATTTATAGCCCCAACTAGCTGTTAATTAAGGGGTGTCCATGAACGACCCAACTCCTGGGGCTCCTGGTATACGACTGTACCATCTTACTGTCCACTGTACCATCAAACTTCTCGTCCGAACCTGAGAACTTCGTCCGAACCTCGACCAGCTAGGCCCCCTGGCCCACGAGGCGCGCTTATTGAGCCGTTGCCATCCGGTGCCCGTGGCCCGAACCACCAGGCTGCGCGCCCGGCGGTCCCGGTAGTCCAGCGGCCTGCGTGACGTGAAGAGTGCGACGGTGCTCCGAAGCCTCTCAGAAGGCCCAAGAGGAAGATCGAAGAATCCGAAAGTCGAAGGCAGTGTTTGGTTTCAAGTGATGTGTTTGGGCAAGGTTTTGGGTTGAAAAAGGCAGGGTTTGGTTTGACATATCGATTTCGAATCAGTTCCAATCCAAGAGCTCCGGGCTCTTAGAGGTCCTTGGACCAGATGGAACCAGTGCACCCTGAAATGCCATATATATAGTTCATTACCCAGACTCTCCAAGACGAGCGCCTGCGGGTCCGGTGGGCGCGAGTCTGGCGTTCGGCCAGACCGGAGCTCACGAAGGTGGGATAGAGCCATCCAAAGGACCTCGAGGCGGCGCCCCTCGTGGGCGTCGCCGGCGTAGCCGGAGTCGTTCGGCGCGGCGCGTGTGCGGCATAGCGAGCTCACCCTGCCTGCTACGGCCCCGAGGTGAAGAGGCGAACACGCAGGAAAACACGTAGAAGTTCCCAAACAACACGTCCAGGATGAGGATGATGAGGATGATGAGGATGATGATGATGAGGAGGAGGAGGATGAGGATGCGGATTTGGAGGATGGAGAATGATATGTCCAAGTTGAGGAGTTCTCATGAACGACGCGCACACACACACTGCACACATTGAACGCAATTCTAGAGGTTATTCGTTGGGGTTCTCTTCTCAGCTCCGCGCGACACAACGACGCGCGACACAACGACGGGAGAACCTGGGAAACCGGTCGTCGCGACCTGTGAACACTCCGAGAGGACGGAAACCGGTGGAAACCGGTGGAAGATGGATGGTTCCACTCCCAGCGAGTGTGCGTTTTCCGCTGCGTCGTCTGTGCGCAGCGAGAGTGCGGAAAGTGGAGGCTCCCGCGGAGAGTCTCCACCTCAATGTATAGACTCTTGATTGATGAAAAAGACACCATTTGGATTGCAAAACCTCTTCTACCTCTGGAGGATATCTCATACAATCAAGAGTCTATATCTTACTCTCAGGTGCTTCTAACTCTTGAAAACTGGCCGAGCGACAGGCTGAAAAAGACCAAGCGCCAGCCCAAGGGGGCAAAGTCCACTCGTCGCCGCTTCTCCATGGCGGGGCGAAGGAGGGTGTTCACTGAGAAGAAATCGGTGTTTGTGGCTCGAAGATCCAGTTCAAGAGGCGGTCAAAAAGACTTCTGAACCAGCAGTCACAAAGGGGTGCTTAATGGAGGTTAGGGGTGCCCATGATCCACTCACTTGGCAACTAAACACCACCCCTTTGTGACTCCTGGAATGTGTATTGAGATGGTGTGTGTGTGTGCCCGCCATTGAGTAGACTAGTTTTTTTGGGGGGTCCGCTGCAACTGGTTCTCACGATTCACTGACACCAAGGTTCTGCTTTCTCATGGGCTCGAAGTTTGCGAACGAAAAACTTGGGGTACAAACCCCAATGAAGGCTAAACGGAGGGTAGAATAGGTTTTTGCAAAACCCTTTCTGTGCACTACCCTTCCGTTTGCCTTTGACCCAAGTAAGGCTCTTCCAATTTTTTGGCTTCGAGAATAGGGAGCTGCTTAGGGTTTAGGGTTCTCAGGGTTCACTCTTGTGAAGGCTCCCAAAGCCTTGGACTAGCCTACTGGGACTGGGGCGTCAAAAAGAAGTTTGACCTCTGATAAGCTGGGACCCCCAGTTCAACCCACCAATCAGACCCACTCGATCAGATCGGGTGGATGACGAAACGGAGGCTTTGTCTTGTTGCTTTGGTTTTCTCCAAGCTCGGTCTACCTGCGGACTCCACTTGGTGTATATTGTATGTGAATCTCATAAAGCGAACCAACTGGATCAGGACATCCGGCCACGCTCTCGTGGACATTCGTGAACCATCTGCAGCCCAGGGGGTCTGCGGCGTCTGCGGCGTCTCTCGCACGAAAACGGTCGAGAAGTCGAGTCGAGTCGAGGCCAGGAAGAGTTGACAACGTGACAGACACACACACACACACACACCAACCATGCATCAAAAGTGTGCGTGTGTGTCTGTCTTTTTCTTAAATTGGATTACACCTCCACCACTCAGAGTGCTCATGGGTCAATTCAGTTGGAAAAAAGAAAACGATTCTGAACATGTGACATGCTACCAGTTTTCATCCCCCAAGCCTTTACCATCACCTGGAAACCCAAAGAAAAATGCACATAATATGCGACCCGGGACCCGAATCCCCTGGGGTCTGGGGTCTCAAATCCCTATCCCAGACGCTACTAATGGGACTGCCATATGTGCCAGAGGGGTTGGGCATCTATGGCAGTCTCATGGAGCGTCTGGGAGATGCTTGCAACAAAGAAAGAACGGTCAACATGTTGAAGGTTGGCATCGTGGGTTGGCACATGTTGCAAGCATCCTTGATTTGAAGCAGCGACAAAGGACCACATGTGACCATGCGGACACCAAAAGTAAAGCTCACACACACACCACACTGAGACACACTGAGAGTAGTATGATATTCTCACGCCTGGCTGGGGGTCTCAAACGGAGCCAGGTTCAGCGGACAAAGCAAAGGCCCCAACCCTAGGGATCCACTGACCCTCTACGCTGAGACACTGAGACATGAGACGGTGCCAGGAACCGTCGGGTCCAGTCGTACATTCTGAGGTTCGGTACGACTGGATCCCTAAACTATAAATCTATGTATAGTGGTTTCAGAATAGATAGCACAATCCCCAAGTTCAGTGGTTTTTATATGGATCCCCATCAAAAAGACATGTTCAGGTTTGTGCCATCGAACCTCTGAAACCACTGTATTATAAATATCAGAATCTCCAGCCTTCCCACATCATTCGGATGAAACACCGAGTCGATGATGGCACTTCTCTCTTTTTCGGGCGACGAGCTGCATCGCTGCGATGGTGAGACGAATGCCGGATGAACCAGATTACAGGAACAAGTGGGTGAAGTTCAAATCCAGGTGACATCATCGAAGATAACTTGGCTGAAGATCTCTGAATAATAAATTGTGTGCCATACCTTCACGCAGTTTGGTGTGAGAACGTCTTGGATATCTTCTCCAATGTTGCACATCATGCGTTCGTGCCGTTTGTGCCGCTGGTTCCCGTAAACTGGCCCGTTCTTTTTCAGAAAGCTTGAGGTCTTTGTTCTTTCGCAAGGATCGGGGTTCAGAACTTCTGTGGACCGAGCAAACCACAGTAGTTCTGCGACTGCAGCTTGGCTCCCGAGGGCTGGTCGAGCGCCCGTACCGAGCGTCCACCAAATGACCCCTGCAACGACGGACCGGGGCGTTGGCTCCGGAGCCAACGCGGAGGGAGAGTCACGGCAGTCACGGCTGTCACGGCTGGGTCAGCTAAGAATCTACACGGAAGATATATAGAGGGCTGTTAGTTGAGGGTTGTTGGACCCTAACAGGTCTCAATTGGTGACCTGTCGGAGGGTGCTGGTAGAAGTTATGTAATATCCCAGAGGCGACCCTGGACCCTCAAACTGCTACATGTTTGAGGTCCAAAACCAGGGTCAAAACCCTAGGGATCTGAGGGTCCAATGAGCCTTTGTGATATGTATATATTTGTATACTTGATGGATAATAAATAGTGGAATTGTACAAACTATCCTGTGGGTGGTGCTGGCATGTTGATTTCATCATTCGCTTGATGCCATGTCTTTGCAGGCGCTTCCTCCCTGCCATCTCTCAAGCTTTCTCATTCAGGGAAGTCTAATCAGCAAGGTGGAGAGCCTTTCTGAGCGGAGAGCCTTTCTCGCAGGAAGGCGCTTCGAGAAGGGTGGCACAGCGGCTCGATTGGCGTCTTGGCTTTTGCATCAAGAACAGTCATACAAACTCTCCAAGCATTCAGAACTGCATGTAGCATATTGCTTCAACCGGGAAACGGGTCGTCATCTAAACCTGACAGCTTTTCAGATGGTAACACAAAAGGGCATTGATATGATAATGAGTGGAAACCAGTCCCCAAGCAGAAACAGTTCTGGTTGTTCCAGCATGGCTTGCTTGAGCTCCTTTCCATGAGAAGTTTGGTTGGTTGATGTTGGTTGTGAAGTGCCACGTCAGCATGCATCTGATTCCGTGGGTCTCCAGGCTATAAGAATCCCTCTCAGTTTCGGCTGTATTGCGACAGTGATTGTCACTGAGACCGCGCATGTGGACAGGATCTGAAGGGATTCAATCCAATGAGTCGCCTTCAGGTCCTTGCGGGTCAACTGATTTTCAGTTTATACGATGACAAATAGGGCGCCGATTCGTCCGTTCTTTTCGATGCTCCCATTCATCAATTGGCTTCAATCCTCCTCTGCCTTTAGCTGGCGCTGAAGAGCTTCAGCCAGTTTAAGCATCATCCTTCCACACAAAGACAGCCCCCAACATCCCCCAACATCTCCAGCTAACAGTCCAAGACGCCCGGAGGTTTGGCAGGCTGGCCACCCTTCTCAAAGGAAGGACTATACCTACGTTGGACCCCCCCCAGGTCCGGTGCTTCCCATCTCCTTTGCGCTTTCAGCGCCTCCGTCGGGCCCACTTTGGAGTCCCACAGCATCGAAGGCAGCGCGGTCGGACCTCCGCGGAGGTTGGTCGACGGTCGGTCGACCGGGTGTCGAGAGAACGATCGACTCGAGGACGGAGGTGGAAGTGGGTGGAAGTTGGGGATGAGTCCCTGGAGGGTTGGAAAACCAGCTGAAGGGTCTTTGAAGCCAGCGATGACCAAATAGAGATTTCAGTAGTAAAACAAACATGAAGTACCAGGACCCTCCAAGGGCATGTCCAGAAACCACCAGACTTGGGGTCGGTCCTGGTAGATAGGGACATCCAATCCTTGCCGCTTTTCCTTTCACATTTCCAGGTGCCACAACCCATTTCAGATCTGCCATCCAGGTGGGGGTGGCCCACCGAGTCACTCGTGATTCTCCAAAACAAACAACCCCCGCCTTAGGGGCGTCCCAGTATTCCTCCCTACTTCCGAGACGCATGGACATTTCCATGGTGTTCCAAAACCAAAAGAAAACACATAACAACCTTCCACTTCCACTTCAAGACCCCCAGGGGTCTTGGAAACTATTAGCTGATCAGGCCAGGGGTGGTGAATCAAGCTTTTTCAGGGTCAATATACCTGGACCTTCAAGGGTGTTCCAATGGAGACCCCTAAGTAGTGGGCTGGGGCGAAACCAGCCAGGTGACCCATGAAGGTGCTGGTAGGTTAATAGTCCGCGCGCGGAAAGAGCCAAAGCAATCCCTCAGAATCTCCATGGGATTTGGACGATGCCGACCCCCTACATACTTCAGACCCCTGGTCAATGACCCCAACTACTCCTCAATACTCCTCAGATCCCTGGTCAAACTCCTCAGATCTACTCCCAGTGACCCTCCGGTCCCACACGACCCGGGCCACGACGCCTCTAATAGTGTATGGGCGCCACGGTGGGTGGCGCGCGATCGGGCAGGTCCTGTACGCCTCCGGTGATCCCTTCGCACATCGACACGCCTGACATCACGGCATCGACACGCCGCGGCTCCGTGAGAGGCGGAACGGCGCCAGGAAGGCCGGTCTTCCCACGTGGGGAAGGAAGAGAGGCCGAAGCCAGAAGCCAAAGAGATGGAGAAGCTATCTGCAGAATCTGGATGTTGTGAATAGAATCAATGGTTTCAGAATGTTTCAGAGTAGATGGCGCAATCCCCAACATGTTCAAAAGGTGTTTGTTTCTATTTCTAACTATAAGGACTCCCATAGAAAGACATCTTTGGGTTTGTGCCATCCACTCCGAAACCACTGTATCTATATAAGTCATGAATCCACCCACACAGTGTATTAAAGCAAACAAACACGTGTGTCACCCGAGTGCCTTCCAAAAGGAATGGACCCGGCGTTTGCTCGAGGACTATCACCCAAAACAAAGGGGACCACGTTGGGGGCTTTGCACTGAGACTGAAAAGAATCGTGTGGGTCACTTTGGATGTCCAAGTCCTTCGCCCTGGCGTCATCTTGGATGATGCAATTTCTGGCGTCAAGACTTAGACGCCTCCGACCTCCAACCGGATTTGCTTCTTTGGGAATCGGAAAAAAGAAAGGAATCTCCAGAAGGATCCAGGCCAGGTGATGTTTGCAGGCGATCCACTTGTCCTTTGGGTGGACACACTGGTGGACACACTGGTTCCAACGCAAGTGTTCGTTCTCGTCATCATTTTGGTGAGGAGAAAGGGCGTGGCACTCCACTTGTCCAACTCCCAATGCTCCAAAAGGACGAGTTGGGGTGGAGGGCTAGGGATCGAAAGAGCCGATGAACATGTGAAGAAGATGGTGCATGGTTAATCCTAGCACTCCAACCACATCCTCAGAAGAAAGTTAACCCCCGTGGTACCCAGCCCAACCACCTAGGCCCGTTAAGGACTATGGCAATGGTTTCAAGCAAAATTGCCAAAGGCTTGAACCCAAATGGTGTATGGTTCAACTATGTTCAACTGAAACCCAGACACTCCATGTATGGCATATATGCCTACATTGACCCCTGAAACCAACCCAATGTAAACAAATATGGCATACATGGAGTGTGTGGGAAATGGATCACAAGGGGTCGATGGCAGCATGTTTCACCCAAACCGCGGCATCAGCCATTCGCCTGAAAGCTCCTGGGTGGTATCTTCTCCTTGGCTGCTTATGAGTGGAGGAATGAGGACGACCAGACCGGTGATCACTGTTGAAAAGGCATGTCATTGGTAAATACATCGTGCCATCGTGTGCTTTGAAGAACTCATGACATGGACTCTATTGGAGTCTCAAGTGCCCAGTGGATCCGTTGTCGCAGTCGCACCGAAGGAACGACTGGACCCGAACAGTTCCGGGCACCTACCTACATGTACATGTCTCAGTGTCCCCCTGCTCACCGAACCTGAGGTTCGGTACGACTGGATCATCTCGGATCCCTTTGGGTGTTCCAACACCGACGTCCGGAAGCCCTCGACTTGATTTCACCCTGACGACCTCGGCATCTGAGTCTGGAACATCCTCTGACTCGGTCCAACGTGGGGTTTCTTGTATTTGAAGTCAGCCCTGATCTCAGAAAACCGGAAGAGCCCAAGAAAATCCATGTGCTCGCATCAGTAGATAGGGTTCCTTCTTCGAGGACATATTTGGCCATGATCGATGGGCCTTAACAGCCCTCAGGTAGACACAAGGATGCACTTCCTGCGAGTGATGCCAATCCGGCCCTACCCTTGACAAACAAAAAGGTCACCATATATGTAACAGTCGTTGCATTGGGGAGAAAGCAGTCGTGAAACATGCTAAGAGCCTTCGCACCGCCCCAAAATCAACTTAATCCATCTCCCAAGAGAGGTTAAGTGAACTTATAGGACCCTGTGTAACCTGGGGCGCCTATGGGATGGTCTATAGGATTCTTCAACCTCTGACTGTCATCCATGTCTGAACAAAACCATCTTTTGTTCCCTGATATCAGCCTGATCTCCAATGTCCGACCTCGATCTTCATCCAAGACGCCAGGGCGTCTCTGTGTAAAGCACTTGGTGTGTCGAACTTGCCCACCGTGGCCTGAGGACGTCAGGCACCGCGCAGGCGTGCCGCCGAGCTGAGCGGAAACCTCCGTCCCACGCCAGTCCCAAACAGATTCAGTGCAGACCGAAGATACTTAACCCCAAACACTGTATAGATGGAATATCTTCCACCATCCCTAAAACCACCCCAATGTATATACGAATATCATGGAGTGTGAGGGAAATTACCTCAATCATTCTCTCAATGTCCCAGGTCTGATGAGGTTGGTGGAAGCAGGTGGTGAATATTAGACCTTGGGTATATCCCATGACTGGGGCCCAGTGGATGACGATGGTTAGATTGCAGGCTGACATCTCAAAATTATAGTAATATTTGGCCGACCGTTACCGGTAATCGGCTACACCCATTTTTAAAAACCTCCAGCTGGGGAAAGCAAAAGCAAAAAGCATCACAAAACACATCCACCCGCACCGAAGGTGCTGAGGCGTTGTGCCGGCTCGGGTGAACTGGAAGATTAGCTGCTAGATACCACTGCTTAAGCTTTAGCTGGGGGCGGCGAATTGTCGGCTCTAGAACGTGTGGCTTTGATGTTTTTAAAATTGAGACATCGTATGTATGATTGTCCGTATGGCTTCGGAGCTAAGCGATCGCGACGTCGGTTATGCAGCCCGAGGGAGACTGCATTATTGACATCATGGGTGTGCTCGTCCGTGTGTCCTGCCCGACACACGACCGAGACAGACAGACTGACAGACCAAGACAAACAGACCGAGCCAGACAGACCAAGACAGGCAGACCGAGACAAACAGTCTGAAACAGACAGACTGAGAGAGACTATTGACATCGCGTGTGTGTGTGTGTGTGTGTGTGACATGTGTCCTGCTGACAGACCGCGACAGACAGACTGATACGGACAGTATGCCATGGAGCTGGACCAGGATGTTGTCGTCGAGGTGGCACTGGCAAATAGCTATGATTTCGTTCAGGGGCTTGCGAGCGTTGTTTTATTACGAAGGGCGTTTCTTAAGCATCATGGCTTTTAGAACCCTGTCCAGCGCAAGCAACAAGGGCTATGGGCCATGTGTCTTGCAGTCTCTATTTGTGCAGTTGGCCCAGTGGTGCTCAAAACACGGGGGCCATTCTTCCTGGATCGGATGGCACCCAGTTGCCAGCTTGATGCGGTCAGCGTCAGACCTTGTGAACGTTCTCGTCTCAGTCACACCGCCCGGCTCATTGAGCTTCTGCGGCAAAGTAACTTCATGGCGGCTCTCGTCCATGGTCTTTTTCAGATTGAAAGCGCAAGGTCTTTTCATTTTTTTAAAAATTCGTTTGCTGCTATAGTTCATATTAATATCGGAAATACAACAGGCTATATAAAATTCCCTAGAAAAACACACGGTCAGACACGGTCTCCGTTTATACTATCCTACACAAAAAGTGTAGTTTTTAAGGACCAAAAATGCTAAAATCCGTGTTCCAGTCTACTTGAAACCATTAACAAAAAAGGTCAACGAGAGCATTTCGTGCGAACTTCCCAACCCGGATATTATACTTTTCTGTGCAGGGTCGAGGAAAGCATGCTAAGAATGTTAAAGCTGTCTTTCTTCTTTCTTCTAGGCTTCTTTCTTCTTCGAGCACACTGTATAGGAGCTGGCAGAAGAGTAGTCATTGCGCAGCGGCAATGTTAATTTGTATTGCTTCCTGACCAAGTCGGCAGAAATCCTCGCGAATCTGGCAAGATTCATTTCCTTCGTCGAACGAGGCTTGCATGATTGCTGGCATGTGTTGCGTGCTTTGTATGCTGTTTGCTGCATGTTGTATCGAACTTGAAGCATTAGGTAAGATACCTTTTGACTTTTGGTGGTCGCTGGCGACCGTGAATCCCCTCCAAGCCTCTGATCCTCAGGAAATGCCGGATTCCAGCCTCCAGCATCCTGCCCTGGATACTGTCTGTCAAGAAAAACTCATGTACAACAATCTCCTCACGATGATCTTGTGGTCGATGAACACTTGCGACCGAAATAACTCAACAAGAATCAACAGCGAAAGTCAATGCAAAAGAAAATTCATTTCAATGCCAAATTCAATGCTTGGAGATTTCCTATATATCTATCTGATCAATATTTTCCTATCCATCTCGAAATGTTCAAAGAGTTTTAGTAAATTCCTATCCATTTCAACTTTCGAACACCCCCAAAAAATATTTGTGAAGATAAATTCCAAGGTATTGCATGTCCTTCGACGATTTGGCATTCGAAGCACAGGTTCTGGATCCGCGCTCCGGAACAGAATGCAAAGCCAAAGAAACTGAGGGTGTCGTCGCCGTAGGTCCAATCACCCTCACGTCCCCACGCAAGACTCTGTGTCCTGTCGACCAGGACTTGTCACTTGAAGGTCGTGGTGACCGTGAGCAAACATGATAGTCATATTAATCAAAGCATGTCACATTTACATCATTTCCTAGATGAGACAAATGATATGTTTGCTGCCCTGCACTGTCATGATCATTTGTCCTTCAAGGTAGAGACCTTCAGGTGAACAATTCGAACCCCCTTCACCGCTGCCGTTGGAATGGTCCTCCTGTGTTGATGGACATGGAAGAAACGGTTGACTGTTTCAGGGATCAATCCAACGCAGTGGCCCCTTTTGGGGTCAGGAGCTCTTTGGTAGCCTCTTTGGTAGCCTCTTCATAAATTGTCCTCGCCGATGGATCTTTCTCCAAAGATCAAATACTTCCTGCACGTGGGGCCAAGGCCGACAAATCTGATAGATCTGATGGTGAAAGACATGATTTGACTGACACTGTATCTCTACTGGATCGTTTGACAGGTGCTGATGTTGCTCATGAAGAACTCAGAGCTAGAGTTGCTGTCTGGGTGTGCCCTCAGAACATTCTCCGCATTCTCAGCTGCGGTTCAGCCATCGGCAGGACGCCGATTCTGAAAGGAACCTACGGTCAGGAAAATATAACGGCAACATGAGCAACTGCCAAAAGATATTACAATATCTATTTCACATCTTTCACTGTCAGCAGAAAACAACAATGGCGGTGTCCAGTCATCCACTCACGTGCGGATCTTGCGGTCTGGGTGTGCCCTCAGAACATTCTCCGCATTCTCAGCTGCAGTTCATCCATCAGCAGGACGCCGATTCTGAATGGAACCAACGGTCAGGAAAATATAACGGAGGCGGCCCTGGCCCTTGGGCACACTGTAATTCTGATTTCTGGATGGCCTTTTCAAATGCAAAGGCAATCTCTTCAACCTCGGTATAAAACATGGCTGCAACTTTTGGCCAAACCATGTCCATGACGGATTGAGCACTTCACCCTTAATATCTTTTATAGAGTTGTCCCAATCAAAGAAGTTCTGTCCCAATCAAAGATCTTGGTTCCAGTCTGCATTCCCAGGATGTGGAGGCCGAGATCACAAAGGATGAGAAGCCAGAAGAGACTCTTTGTCCGGAGGCCGGTTTGGGCATAGCATTTCATATTTCTTAACCGCTCTTGCGAAGTAGAAGACCAAAGGTTGGCGCCACACCATTTGTGTTCTGTCTAGTTTCAGTGTGTGTGTGTTGTTGTGCGATGCATTCCCCCCGACGCAAAGGCGGAGAACATCAAGGAGGAGCTGGGCCACCTGCTTACTTCTACTTAAGTCTTGCACTGCGCTGCGCGAAAAATGTCGCCTGGTTAGAAAAGCGTCCACGAACAAAAGCATAGCAGGGGCTAGCCACCTGGCTTTTTTGACTGTGCGAACCATCCTTTTGGAAGTTTCTTTTTGGAAACACATTCGGCGCTCACGAAAAGAAACATCAGGGCAGACGCTAGCCACCTGCAGTAGGCAAATCATGGCAAATCTAGCAGCAGTGCGCAACAACACACATTGCTTATCCTTCCATGAGCAAGACTGTGTCCTCATTTTTGTTGAAAAGGTCTGACATGGTGTTCTCTAAGCAATAATGTATACAAAGATCCGTTTGAGGTGATTCCCAAACGATCATGTATAGAGGCGTCTTACATGGTCCCTGGAAAGGGTCTACAATGGTTGCGAACACCATGTCAGACCTTTTGGCTCCAGAACCCCGGGGTGTACTGATTTCAGACCCTATAAGTAGTTAAGGGTAATAAAACCATTCTCATGACAAACAATTAGTTGAACCAGGACCCCCAAAGGGGTGGTTAATGGACAACCCCTTAACCTCTAAGGGGCTATTAATGGACACCCGGAATCCGTGGTGCTTTGTGTCAACCGATTTTTTCTCCCACTCCTCAACCAACCCACAATCTGAAAACACTCAGAATGAGGGGCTGATGGCAGTGATCTTGATCTCGTGCTTTGACAAGGTCAGGTCCATAAACCCATACCTCAGCTGACAAGAAGCTAGCAGCTAGCAGCCAGCATCCAGCCCAATCCAACACCGCTCCGCTGAGAGAGAAAGCGCGAAGCAAGTGACCTACATTGACCCAACCAGTCATCTGATGAAAAAATCGCTTCAGTGTGTGGGCCAATGTCCCCATGTCCCAGGACCCTCCAGGCTAGGGATGTCTATTTATAGCCCCAACTAGCTGATTATTTTTCAGGGGTGTCCATGAAGCACCCAACTCCTGGGGGTCCTGGTCCCAGTTGTTTTCGTTAGGGATTGGTCTCTGCCAGCTGCTTCCGAAAAGGTCGGGGCGCCGAAAAATCTCGGTGGACACCTGCGCCTGGATCCAAGTACTGAAACCCTTTCGGTCGAAGGAACAGCGCTTGCGCCGCGCCGCGCAAACTGGAGATCCCAGACTTCGAAAAAAGCGTGACTCTGACTCAGACCAATATGCCAGTCTCATGGAGTGTTTGGGATATTGTTGGGATAAGTAAAGGATGCCACTTAGCCTATATCTTAGCCTAGAGCCTATATCCACTTTGGGATAAGTAAAGGATGCTAGCTTTAGGCTTTTCTCAAGTCAACACAAGAATCATCACTCCTTCCGGCTCTCAGCGACTGGGAGGGGCGACTGGGATCGCCCCAAACCTTCAAAGCCCGACCCCACACGGCACAGCTGCTGCGTTTATGTGGACCCCCCTTCTGTCGACCGATGTGGTCCGAACCCCACCCATGAGCTCGGGATCGAAGCTGAGTGACCACCCTATACCCTATGGATCCAGTCGTACCGAACCTCAGGTACGGTGAGTATTGATGAAGGCGCCCTTGGGGGACCCAATGACCGTACCTGAGAAGGTGGCAGTGGATCCATAGGGATAGGCGTCTTGTTTTTTTTCCGATCAAGACCAGGGGGGTCACGTCCTTCATTCGGAACTCACTGCGACATGGTGGCGCGCCGCCGACGCTGCGCGTTCTGTGTTGTTTCACTCACGCTGCGCTGGTCCCTCGGGTTCGGGAGGGCGTTGGTGGACCCCACCAGGGTCGGTCGGGGTGGTGAATGGACACCCCTTCACATATTCTTAACATCTCAGAAGCATTCAGAAGCTATCAATAGAAGCGCTTTAACTAGTGGGTCCCGGATAGTGTTCTCACCCCCGAAAAATTCTCACCTACATCCCCTGTCACGCGCCAGTAGGACCATACAACATGTTCTGTTGGAGGTTGACCAGGGGGTCTCCCCTTCCATCCCACTGCTCCTTCCACCCTCCTCGACTGCAAGCCACTGGTCGTCCTGTCCATCTTCCGTGGGCGTGCCCTCGCTGGTGATGCCGCCCCCGCCGCCGGACACGATCCACGCGGTGGGCTTCACCAGATTCACCTCGTCGTCCACATGCACCTGACGGCGGAACCCGCGCAGAACGTTGCGCGCGTCCTCGGCCGTCGTTCGTCTCGGGCAGAGTCATAGAGACAGACGCGACCTACATGGGACTGGGGACAGGACTGCCGAGAAACGGCCAGGGGTGGTGCCAGAGGGGTCAATGGGGCGGCAGTCCTATATTGGCAGTCCCATGGGTCGTGTCTGGGATATAGTCGTATATGACGGCGGCTGCATCGAGACTAGACCCTATAGCTGATCCATGGGCCAGCTGTGTATCTGGAGTTGAGCTGAGAAAACAAACCCAGATGCGACCCACATGGGACTGGTATATAAGCCGATCAGTTGGGGTGGGCCATGATGGGTCACTGGGGCGGCATATATATGGCAGTCCCATGTGTCGTGTCTGGGAAAGGCAGGCTCCAAAGGCAGGCTCCAAAGGCAGGCAGTAGATCGGTGCCCGGACACCGTTCTGTCTCAGTCAAATGAGGTATCGAAATCTGTGGCTCAAACAGCATCCTTGCAGTGACCCCAAAACTAAGATGAACATCCTGTTCTCCTTTGAACAACACGAAAACCAATGCTCTTAACTAGCTGCCTAAATGCATCTAAATGTCCAGATCATCCTAGATGCCTTGGAAGCCACCAACGGCGCTTGCAGGCCGAACACCGTTCTTGCCTCCTGGATGTGTCGATGGGCGGTGAGGATGAGATCAATGCCAAAGGTCTTCGAGAGCGCCTTCCACTGGTCTAAGCCATGTTCCACCTGAACACGATGTTTCACACGACCACGAAATGGATCTCGACGTCCGCGAGATTCGGCTCAAGAGGCGGTAACTGCTTCACTGTTTCGGTACGATGTTTTTACTAAGCATGGTCTACTCAAGAACGGAGGTGCGTCCACGAAGTGTGTGTGTGTGATTATCAACATGTAGGAGGGACTTTTGATCTTTTGAAGGTATGTGAAGTTACTAGCACCAAGATATACACACGCCTCATTGCCCTCTTGGGCAATGTATTATACTAGTAGCCTTTCACTCAACCCTCATTGCCCTGGGTCTTTGGCATCACACCTAAACCCCAAACCCGCGGACGCCGGCGTCCAGTGCCGGGCCGGAAAGTGGGTCGCCACGAACTGCCAATCCGCGCTGGACTTACTGAGGCCGTCCTGGCGGCTGAGAATGGGAGGGAAGTACGGATAGGGATCAATACTCAACTAACATGGAAGTGGACACCCCCTGTAGAGGAAAATGACCTTCCAAGGGGCCATGCCATCCACTTCGAGACTTTAAGACCCTCGCATTGGGTTTAGATGAAGCTTGTTCATTCAAAAAATACCCACCCTCCTATTGAGAGGGTGTTTTTCGCAGGGAGACACTGCATGAAAAGTGATGTAGGGTGCCAGGAGGGTCTGGTCGTACCGAACCCAAGAAGGTATGTGATTGGTGGTCAAGATGTCTTTGCTGTAAAAGTCATTCTGATGGGGGCCCGCTTCTTGTTCAATACATTTCACGGAGGGTTTAGGGTTTCTGGGATGTGTGGAAATGTGAAGTATTTCAATCAGAGGTGCAGAATGTTGCAAACGTCGCTAGCGCGAAGGCCTCTGTTAACTCTTTGATGACCTTTTGTTGTCTAAGCTAGCCATGCTGCGAGGAATTTGATAGGAAAAGAGACATGGGCACAAGCTTTCCAAGTAGTAAGGGCGAAGATCTGCTTCCAGGACAATTGGACACCTGATCACATTTGAGAACTGTGCTAGCGCAAACCTAGCGCAAATGCGACACCGCGGATCCAGCGCACAAAACTCAGAACTTTTGCCGGTTTGAGGTAACAGCAACACACGTCACAGAGGTCACTTCTGTATTTCCCCATATACTTTGTACACTACTACCCAAAAGCATGTCAGCACACAGCCTAATCTACGCGATGAAATCGCCAATCTAGCGCTGCCTTGGTGGTTTGCATGATTCTGCCGGGGGTCCGCTACTAAACCAATACTTAAAATCAATATCCAAACCATTTCCATACCACCTTTCAAAAAAACTTGATATAGGTTTTTGACCGCTGCTCGTGTAGAAACTCTATGGGGTTTGCTCGTGGTCCTGTTTCCATGGATTGGCTTGAGGGAACATCTAGACGAAACCATGCATGGTTTTCACCCGCAAAGGTATGGGTTTCCTCAATACATGTTCCCTTAAACCAATGTTGCAAAAGTTCTGACAGTGCTCCGACCAAGTGGGTAGGAAAGAACCTTCCCTCTAGATTAAGGCTCTGTCTGAACATGTATGGGTTGGGAATATCCCGGGCCAGGGTGCAGTCGATGATGGGGTCTGGTTGCAGGCCGCCAGGCAATGGGGCCATCTCACTTGCTTTCTGGGCCTCGGATGCCTCATCCAGTGACTGCCGGAGAACGACTGATACAGGCCGGATGGTTCCAAACCAAAACACATAGATGAAGTTAAGTTTTCCTAGTGTCAGCCTGACACCAACACCCAATGAACATCACATCCCAAACCAAAAGAGACATGAAAACTTCATTAAAACGATGTTATCCCATGGACTCATTCGCTATTCGTCCTCCTCAGCCCGGGTCGTCTTCCTCAGCCCGGTCTTGCCAGGCGCGACACGGTCCTGCATCCACTTCACCTCCGCGTCCCAAAGATCTTTGAACCATTGGGCGCACCTGGGAGGTGTCTCGACCGCCGAGTAACGCAGAAGCTACAACTAGTAGCGAACGAAGCCTAGAAGCTAGCAGCGGCATTGCTAACTAGTAACAAGGACATTATACGACTAGTAGCAAGAAGCTACGAGTAACATGTCTGCATCTCGTCCAAGGTGGTCAAAGAGAAAGCAACATAGGGAGACGAAGAACAACATGAGCCTCTCTCTCGGAGCCAAGCGCTGTGTTTGGACCGATGTGCATGAAAGCGTAAAAGAGAATTTAGAAGGCTAACCAAAAGAAACCACCCCAGATGCTCCGTTCACACCCCGACTGGTCCCTCAAAACCGGGATCCATAGGGATTGGTGAGAAACCCCAAAGCTCTCCATATGAGGCTCCAGGAGCATCGGGGCATCTCTTTTTGGACAAACACATGGGCGCGGCCCGACAGCGCGGCCCACTGAGCGATTTCCAAAGATCGATACCGTGCAAGTCCCCAATCAGCTGCCTATCAAGGACATCCGACGTCCGATCCAATCTTCTACATTGCTTTAAGTGTTCCATCACGAATAATTAGGTTTAATTTTGACCAAAAACATGGGATCTCAGATTTCACCCTCGTGAAATCAGGTCAAACATGGTAAAACATGGGATCTCAGGCATTTCACCTTCAAATAAATACCCAGACGCGATCCTGGGACCCTCATATGGAGGGGTCGGACCCTCATAGGGAGGGGTTTGGGGTCTCAAATCTTTATGGTTTTGAGGGACCAAGGGCTGTTTGGAGCGTTTGGGTATTACAAAAAGACAAACACACACTTCGAACTTCGAACTTGGGTTTTCAGTTAACGCAATTGTCTCAATGGGAAGGAAGGCGAGGGAACGGAAAGGCGCAAGAGTCCGCAAGAACCGTAGTGTTGAACAATGTTGGCAGCTGCACTTGAAAACGATCTGACATTCAAAGTCGGCTGCAAAGCGGCGCAAGGTGGCGGTGGGTTTGTGGGACGTATCATGGAGAACCGTGAATCAAGCCGTGGAAGAGTAGGGTAACAGCTTGCGAGAGAACGAGCAGGTACACGGAAGTGATCAGCTTCCGCTTCCTAGGATCTTGCAAAGAGCTTCGTTGGGCAGAGCTTTGCAAGTCCTCTCTGCCCCCCCTGCCTGTGTGAAATGGGAAGAGTGGTGGTGTAAGACCCTTTGTCCAGGGTGGGACACACACAGGTCGCCGCATTCGGCGCTTTTTTCAAAAACCGGTGGCAGGCGTGGTAGTTATGCCCCTTTTGGACATATAGGTCCACGAGTTCAGCCGCAGCAACGTCAGCGCTGGAGGGTGGAAATGTGTATTTTCGAATCATGCATCTCGAATTAAGCTGAAGAGCTGTAATGCCCATCCTTGAGTTCTGTCGATGAAAGAATCGCGGCAGCAAAATAGTGAACATAGAAACACGCACATGATTGGAAGACATGAACAGAAAACTGAATGCTGAAATCTGAGATCTGAAGTTTGGAATCTGAAGGATTCTTCAAGAACCGTTTTTTGGCCCGGCGGCCGGTGTGGCGGTTGATTCTGTGAGGGTGTCGGTGCCTTCCTGTGATAATCCAGTGAGCGGTGGTGCGTTGGGGTGGTTGCTTTCCCATGCAAGAACGGCGCCCCTGTGACGGGGATCACACTCAGCACCCGAGTGGGACGGCTGAGCAGGACACACTTCGAACTTGGGTTTTCAGTTAACGCAATTGTCTCAATGGGAAGGAAGGCGAGGGAACGGAAAGGCGCAAGAGTCCGCAAGAACCGTAGTGTTGAACAATGTTGGCAGCTGCACTTGAAAACGATCTGACATTCAAAGTCGGCTGCAAAGCGGCGCAAGGTGGCGGTGGGTTTGTGGGACGTATCATGGAGAACCATGAATCAAACCGTGGAAGAGTAGGGTAACAGCTTGCGAGAGAACGAGCAGGTACACGGAAGTGATCAGCTTCCGCTTCCTAGGATCTTGCAAAGAGCTTCGTTGGGCAGAGCTTTGCAAGTCCTCTCTGCCCCCCTGCCTGTGTGAAATGGGAAGAGTGGTGGTGTAAGACCCTTTGTCCAGGGTGGGACACACACACACACAACAACTCATCCAGGTGAAACGATCATCCCAAAAGCCCAAAATCGTGATCCACGCCCATGAGAAGTCAGAGAAAGACAGTCCCATCCATGGGAGTGAATTGAAGAGTTACATTGGACGTTCTTTTCTTTCTTTTCTGGTGTTCACTGGTCGACCTCGTCTTCCTCTTCCAGTCCGCTCCATGCCCAACGGACGATTCACCAAGAAGAACACCGCGCCGCCGACCGCCCGACCACCGTCAGGCCCCGTCCATCGAACAGAGCGGCTGTTGCACGGACATCGGTCCTGTGATGCCGCAGGTGGCATCCTGGCGGACTCGACGGACGGCCGTGGTGGGCGCACCGATGGCACCGTGGCACGGTGCCGTGGCCGAGATCTACGGTATGGAATAGGGTTCAGTACTGGGTTCAGTGTATGGGGCATTATATGCATTTCATTCATTGGTGATTGAATATGATTCATATCGAGTTATACTCACATGGTGATTCATGATGTTTTTTAGTATGTAACTCTTCCAGCCAAACAAACGTCTGGATAAATTTACGAATTTACAAACGATCTGATACTAGCTGTGCCTCATGTAGAAGGTAGACTTGGATCAAACACCTTGATTTGAAAGCCTTTGGAGATCCCAAGCAGCCACTACCAGGACCTGTTGAACCAACGGATACGTGGACCCTGTCTCCCCTTGGGAAGGCCAAGGAAGAATGGCACCATCCACCCCTTGGGCCGAGTGAGAGCTCGTGGCTCTTGAGTTTCGGTCAGGTCCGGTGGGCCAGGCGGGCTCTGCTTGGTAGTTGGATCCACTGCCACCTTCTCCGGTTACGGTCATTGGGTCTCCTGGGAGCCGGACATAGTCTCCGTCCTCACCGTAGCTGAGGTTCGGTACGACTGGATCCATAGGGGATGCTACACTCTGGACAGCATGGAACCAGGTCGACCCACCATGTCGGGTTGGTCTTCGGAACATCGTCGGACCCAGTCTGGTCCATGCCCCGGTTCCGGTCTCGGTCTCTTCCGGGGTGTATTTGGTCCTCCTTCGGGGTGCCATCCACGTTGGCCCATGATCAGCCATGTTGGGCAGTCCCGGATACTCGTAAGACTTGCCTCACTTCATGTCTCACACCCGCGAGACCACTAGGCATCAGCCTGGTCGTGCCTGCCTTACATGGCCTTAGAGTCTCTTTTGGCCAGGGTGAAAAGACAAAATCTCCTGCGTTCAAAGAAGTACTGCCTCTCCTGATAGTTGTGGTTCTCCGCGCAAATGTTGTGTCCCGAAGCCGCATGGTAGTCGAAAGCATCCCAAAGATTGCCTCAAAAAGGGTCGTGCTGAAGCACACAGCAAACGGCTTTGCTGCACATGGCAAAGGCGCCAATCAATCGGTTTCATCGTCTATCTCTACCCCAGACACTCCATGGGACTGCCATAGGACTGCCGCCCCATTGACCCCTCATGGCCCACCCCTGGCCGTTTCTCGGCAGTCCTATGGCAGTCCCATGGATGTCGTGTCTTACTTCACCACCAGACACGACACTTGGGATCCCAGAGACCTGGTCCCGAGTGCTATGGACCCGTTCGCCGGTCCTGCTGTGAAGGGTCCATTTCACCCGAAGCGCGAACGGGTTTCACGGGTCCTGCCACTGAGCCTGACTGGGATATATACAAATTATATGGCTCATTATGGCTCTATGGGTCCAATTCCAGGGTACTGGTATGCAATCCATATGCAATCCATGCTATCTTGTCATCTGAGTCACATGCTGCTCACAGGTGCGAAAACTCCACCGTCCGCACGAACAGGCCTGTGGCCTCCAAGTCGTGAGGGTTGTTTGAAGTAACCTTACAATGGATTGTTTCCTAGAGCTTTTCCCTTAAACCAATTCTGGGAACCATCGCAGTCGTTCCCCCTTTCCTACCAGTGTCACAGCAGTTGGGTGTCTGCTCCCAGGGAAAAAACAAAACAAAAACTGATTCCCCAAAGGAGGATTCAGCAGGATTCAGCCAGTTCAGGAAAATCAAGAAGACCTTGAGCAAAACAAGTTGTTTGATTGGGTACTGTAGAGTCTAGATCTGATATTTCTATAGTACGTGACCCCAACAGTCACTGAGATACTGACAGGACACGCCGCAAGACCATCGAATCCATCGGGGCCTATGTAAGTGTACCATTTATTCGACAAGTGGTATCTAAATCTAATCGAACTCGAGCCGTATCATGGAGGAAAAAAAGCACTCATCACTTGTCCAAGGATCTCCAAATAGTTCTTTACCCAAACACTCCATGGGACTGCCATACATGCCGATCAGTTGACCCCTCATGGCCCACCCCAACTGATCGGCAGTCCTATGGCAGTCCCATGGAGTGTCTGGGTTATAGTTCATTAGTATTCGACCGATTCCGCGACCTTTCTCTATGCGCATTGGTCGACAGTAGCACACAAAGGATCTTTTTTGCGAAGGAGTAGGTCAATCCAGTACTAATTACGATAGACGGCCCATGAGAGATGACGTCTTGGCCAATGCTTCATCTGAGCTTGGTTGTCATCCAAGTGGCTATCCACGTAGAAAATGTCGATCGTGAAATCCTAGGTCCGCGGTCAGAGAGAGCTGGGCGATTTATCACACTTCCCACCGCCCGGTTGCCACAGACACACACACACACGTGGTATCTGTGAGCAACGGGGAAAAAAAAAACATACATGAGGCTGTGCTCGTGGGACTGATGGGGTGGATTAGCGGGGCGGCAAATCTGGGGTCTGACCCGGAATCGTCCGTTTTCCAGAGGAAGAGAAGACCAAGTGAACGAGTTGCACCATGTTGCACCCATCGGACTTTGTAGCTTCTCACATCTTCCAAAATGGTTTACAGTAGTTTCAGAGACTAGATGGCACAACCCCATGTCCTAGACACATGGGGGTTCAACATTGGGGATTGTGCCATCTACTCTGAACCCACTGTAAATGGTTTGCCACACACCAGGGACGTCGCACATAGCTTCTTCGCCTGTCGGTCTAGTTCCCTACTGGTCCTGATAACCCCATGGTTCGTGGATGTTCGTGGTGTTTTTGTATCTATCTCGATCTCTATATATATATAATATTTACTATAGGGCTCCAACTACCTCCTGAGAAGGTGGGCCCCGGTGGGACCTGTGGAAACATCAGACCCGGACGTGTCCTTTCCGAATGTTTGTGCGGTTCGCTGTCGAAGATGGAGGTTCACTACTAAACCACCGACATTGGGGTCTGTGCCATCTACTCTGAATCCACTATAGTTGAAAGATCCAGCCCTCCGTGTCACAGGACTCGCTCCGCTGGTGTGAGGATGTGTGAGAGGCGAAGAACCGCGCTGGGCCTGGAACAAGCAAGAACCCTATAGGTCAAAGACCTCGTTAACCACATATCGCTATAGGGCTCCAACCATATCCTCAGAATGTGGTTAGACCCCCAAAGTCCACCATGTCGCATCATGTTGCGGATCGACCGAATGTCCTTCCCAGACGCTCATGGGACTGCCTTATACCTGGATCTTCCAACTATGCCAAATTTCTGCCTTTGAAGCTGGTTTTATGGATGAAAAGGCAGAAATGACCTGCACGTCGTTGGAAGATCTAGGTATGCCGCCCCCAGACCCCTCATGGCCCACCCCGGTTACCGTTTTGAAGGCAGTCCGGAACTGGCAGGTCCCGTGAGTCACGTCTGGCCGACGCCGAAACACTAGTCGACTACCGTGACTGGCCTCCAGTCGTACCGAACCGAAAGCTCGGTTTGGTGGGAGGGTGGGTGCCATGTTCGGGTCCACCTTTCCTTCTGAGGTCTTTGGAGGTTTTCTTCGTATGTCTTGCTGGAGGGTCTGGATTCTTAGGGTGGTTTCGTTAGCACTACCTGGACAGTCGCCTAAAGACCTGACTTACTTGGCGCACGACCGACATAGTACCTATACCAACACCTGGTGTCGGTTGTTTCGCCACAAAAGCACAAAACCTCCAGGTTTTGACCCAAATGACTACCAGCTGGGGTGTTTTTGAATTCTTTCACGGTGACAGCAACCCTTGTTTTAGATTCTTTGCATTCACCAGGTCACTCTCCCATTCGTGAAAAACGGTCTGGCTGTTCACCAGGTCGACCTACATGGAACCTGCGTTCACCACGTCCGGTTGTAGAGGAAAATTGTCTTCCAGAGGTCCATGCCATCAGGTTCTATGATGTTCTATGTTAATCTTCCCGGGTGTAGGTGGGACAGAGTTTAGCGATTTCTCCAGCACCATGGAACCTGAGTCTTCCACGCCCCATCATCATAGTAGAGAATGAACGTCACATCATCAGTCTGGTCCATGCCGTTCGCCCGGTTCCATGTGTGTCTCGGGTCTCCAGGAGCCCAGGATGACGATGCATTTTTACCGACCTGCTCCGTCCTCGACCGGCGACCCCTTTCTCCCCACTGCAGCGGGACAGCGCCGAGCGTCGTTGTATTTGACGGGAGTGCCTTGGCGACGGAGCGGGATTCGGCAAAGCATGGATGGGGATGGCATTCTATATACCCAGACGCTCCATGTATGCCATATATGCTTACATTGGGGTGGTTTGGGGGTCAATGTAGTAGGCATCTATATGGCATACATGGAGCGTCTGGGTGTATAGGGATCCAATGACGATTAGACCACCGTGTCAAATCAGTGATTTCCTGACAAATGGTCCCTTCAAGAAGCCTTGTGCTTACACATGCTTACACCAATGTTGCTTTTTGTAGAAGCTGACATCCATAGATCGATCCACTTGCCAACGCCCGGCTCAGCAGTGAGTCGGTCGCGCGTCTCCCGTCCGATCTCAGCGAGGCGAGGACCCCTCCCTGGCACCCCAGGTCACCTACCACCTAGGTCACCGAACCGGATGTTTTGTGCAGGAGCTCTGGCTCCATATATGGGGCAAACACCAAAACTGAATTTACTAACTATATATACAGGTGTTTGTATGTATTTGTAACATCATTGTAGACTGTTACACAACTACACTGTTATAAAGCATCATGAAACCCTCCTACTACCCGACCAGAATGCTCTAAAGATTCGGAGGGAGTTGATTCATGTGGGCAGCCAAAATTACAAATATATGTTATCCAAGGTACTAGAAGTAAAACCACACTGCACTCACAGGCTGTTCCTATACAAATTAATCTATATAAGCCTCAAAGGGCGACCAACTTCCTGGTAGACCGTTTCATCCCTGCAACTAGCACACTCTCTTTATCTATCAAATGGAATGTGATGGAAAGGTACGCGTGACATGACCGTCACATCAGGAGCAAAGAAATAAACCACTTCCAGCTTCTTAGAAGTGACCTTTTTGGAACCCCGGCCAGTGACCTCAAAGCAAGATATCAAAGTTTGGTCAATTTGAAGAACCAGGTTAAAACTGCCAGTCACGTTCGACGGGGTGCGGACTCCATGGAGGTGGCTGGGGTGCTCCACTCACGACAGGGGACTAAACACAACCCCGAGCTCTGTGACTCCGGTGCATGGTTTGGGTTTTTGCGCTCCATACGGTCCAATCGTTGCTAACATTTGCTTATGTACCTGTCCTGGACACCTATACTAGAGTTACTAGATCTTTCCCATGTGGAGCATGGGCATGCCCAACGAATGGCTTGTTGAGTTGAATGCAAATGACCTCTTTTTCCGCTGAACACTCCAGAATACACATTCTTACAGATTCGGGAGTCTCCCTTCCAGTCCAAACATGCTAATGTTGGATCCTGTTTGCCCAATCCTGGGCACTAAACAAGCAAACACATTCCCATCTACTGCCATCTACCACCTGAAACTGGACTTCAGTGCGCCTCGATTCGACCGATAAAGAAACAACATACAATACCCATACACTCCATGTATGCCATATATACCGATACTTACATTGACCCCTCAAACCACCCCAATATAGGCATATATAGCAGTCCCATGGAGTGTCTGGGATAGAAGACCGAGGTGCTATAGTACAAGGCTGGCTGCATCCATCGTCCCGTGCTGAAGGTCATCTTCGACCTCATCGCCGCGGCAGGAGACGCATGGAGTCCCTCCAGTGCCACGCCACAGCGGAAGCTGAAGATTCACCAGCTGTGCAGTGCAGGTCACAAGAGCAGGTAGCAGGTAGCAACAAACATACTCTAACTGGTCTCCTTCTGGTCTCCTGATCTGACACTGAGGCGTTCCGAACATGAACTGGAACCGATAAGACCGGTAGCAACTCCAACGGAAGACCGTGACGCATCTCGTGACGCATCTGCTATCGGTCGGTGTCCGTCGATGGAGACGTCCGGAAAGCTGGTGAAGCTGGACATGGTTGGAGGCCCAGAATACTTGAGGGTGCCCCTACTCGGCACCAGTTGAGTTTGGAAGACTTCCCAGGCGTTCCATCCTCGAAAGAAGAAGGAAAATAGACCAAAAGCCATTGGGCTATAGAGCGATGTTGCGGGGTCTCAATCCAGTTGATCCATGTTGATCCCAGGTTGATTGACCTGGGGTCTTTCTCTGGCTTCGATTCCAGCCCCAGCGGTGGTGCCTGGGTACTGGACAACACAGAAAGCCAGCACCCAAAGAGAAACATCGCTCACAGCTCTTTGCTGCCTTTGCTCCATTTTGCTCTGCTCCTTCATCATGCTTGAGCAACCCCAACATGACGCAGATCCATGTGCAGTGGTACAACCCTCGTGAATGTGAAGGACCATCCATCTGCAAATGATCGCATTGAATTTGTGCTGACATCCAAGCACATCTTCCCAACCAGTACTAACAACGCCAGGATAATCCCCCAAAAACGATCTCCTTTGCATTTGGGATGCTGTGGATGATTTGCTTGGGGGATAAATAAGTACTGTGCACCCATTGATTGTGGCTTACTACCTGCCAGTGGACTTCTCCAGAATTCCATGTACTTCTCTGCTCTTCTCTGCTGCCTAGGCCTAAACATTCAAATACATGCCAAAGTCACCCTACTCTGCCCAATCTGCATCTCTTTCGTCCCCCCTCCCTGACCCCTCTTCGCACGTCCAACCCGTCGTAGGCAGCTCTCAGCTCGGTCCCGGGCCAGGTATAGGCAATCACCTGGTCCCAGCCATTGGTGAAGAGGAAACCTCCATAGTCCTCGAGAGATGGCGGAAGTGTAGAACAATAACAAATGTGCACCAACAGTCGCATGGAGTTCCTCCGTTCGTTCGGCACCCCGTCTGGTCCAGGACCATTCCCCCGCGTGACCTTTCTTGGATTCCCAACCCGTGACCTGTTAGAGGCCTGTGACTTCGAGCCCGGATCAAGTTCGCTCGAACAACGATCGACGGTTTCAACAAAAAACGACACGGTCACTCTATGTCAGTCTAAACTGAAGGACCTGTTGGCCAAAAATAAGAACATGGCGACGGGATGAGACGAAAGCACATGGCGAGAGGTGCATGAAGCAGGAAGCATTCGTCTCGGTCTCAGCTGGACTCGCCCACCAGTTCCATGAAATCCTTTTAGTAGAGTTCGACTCCCTGCAAAAATCGTCGATGGACGTGGAAAACCACCGGTTTTTGAAGAGGAATATGGAAAAGCGCCTCCAACAGGTCACCAATTGAAACCTGCAACAGGGCCTATCCCAACCCTCCATGCAACGGAGACCTGTTGAGACCTGTTGGAAGGTGCTGGTGGTTCGTGGAGTAACTGTTCAAAGTCCATGTTCAGGGGGTAGACCTTTTAGAGCCATCCAGGGCCATCCAGGGGATGTTCGTTCGGAGAGCCTTGTCACCCTCGGTTCGTTCGGCACCCAACTCCATGGAACTGCTATCGATTGCATCATAAAAACACCGATTCTTGGGGTACTTGGATGATTTGCTTGAGGAACCTGAAAAATAAAACTACACATACTCCCCAGGTACGGGGATTAAACCAGTTCGGGACAACGAATCACTCGAATTCCGCTACCACCAGGAGATAGCTGTTCCAAAAAAAACTACCACCAGGAGATAGCCGTCCGAAAAAACACATAATAACAATAAAACACGGCGCGATGCTCCAAACCGCCGCTTCAACCCTCCAGTTTCAGGGAAAAAAACGTCTCCAAGATCTCGGAAGTTCAGGGAGAGTCAGAGACGCGTCCCAGTTCAGGCGTCCGTCCTCGTGTTTTGCGAGCATCTCATTGTTTGATGTGACATGACACGACACTTGGAGGATTGAAAAGGGGTCCATGTAGGATAATATAGGTAAATTTGCCAGTCTCATGGCGTGTCTGGGACTCACAAAAACATCTCCCCCAACAAAGCCAAGAACCCCGGAAACACCCCAAAAAAACCGATGTCCAATGTTCACCACGTATAACCACGTCACCACATCACCCGAAAACGAAACCATCACGTCAGGCGGCATGGTTTCCGAGGATACCAAGCCATTGCTTTCCGTCCACCTGCGCCGAAGAGACCGGAGGGGCGAAGCAAACCACTGGGTGCGACCCGACTTGGAACCCAGTTTGGAGACGTGGGCGGAGTGTTACGGAGTGTTTGATTGAGGGGGTCAAGGGAAAAGCTAGCACCATGAAATCTCCCATCTGTTGAAAGGTCCTAGCTTCCTACTTCAGACTGTGTTCTGAGGGACAGGAAACAGCATGGTTCCTAGTTGTCCAAGTAGAAGATAGTACAAAACATGTTTCACATATCTGTGAACTGACCCTCGTTTTTGGTGGAACCCCCGGGCCCTCTATTCTTTTACCATATATGAGTGTTTGTACTTCCATCAGAACCTACGGATTCAATTCGAGTCCCTGAACCTGTGCCGAGGTCTCCAAAAGCAAAAATAGTTTGGAAACACAACACATAGCAAGGAGACATCGCAATTCTCATGGATGTCTCATCAGCTAATCATAACTGTAGTCACTATACTATCACTACTATCACCAATTAGCTCCTTAAAAAACACACACACACACAAAACACGGGACCACCAGAGTGCGTATTTTATGTGTTTTTGCTGCCTACTTCCATCTATGTGCTATAAACTTCCCACTGTGGCCTGCATTCATGCTATGTGTCTGTGAAAGCTGACTCAATGTCCTTTGCACTGGAAAACAAACACAAACAGTCTCGAGAAAATATAGAGAAAACCAATAACAACCTAGGAAAAGCAAAAAAACCTTGGGAAAACCAAAAAACAAAAGAACCAAACAACAAAAAACAAACCAAAACAAACAATTCTCAATTACTCTTGGCTGGACCCCCCCTTTCCTCAAGACTTCCCCAGAATTGTTTTTTTGGTGTGTTTTGTTCTTTTTTTTTTTTTGGTTGTCCCAAGGTTTTTTGGCTTTTCCTAGGTTGTTATTGGTTTTCTCCAGGTTTTTTGTTTTTTTGGTTTTCCTATTTAGGTCAATCTGTGTTTTTACTATTTCCTTCAACCTTCAAAGTATGTGAGCCTAAGTCTCACCTAAAGGCATATGTTCTTTGCTCTTACAATGAAAGCGTCTGAGCCCACCACTCCTTTTGTCCTTGTCGAAATCTCCATGTACAAGTCTGTGCATTAACTTCTGATTGGTATCAATGTGGTTGCCAATTGCATGTCCAATCAGCTTGACATGAAACTGTAATGATACCTTCCAATTTACATGAAATTGTTATGAATCTGTGTAAGCTGTAGTTCTAATTCAATGCTTGTTGCTTTTGCTTCGGCTTTGTAATTTCGCAGCCTCCTCGACTTGTGCATCTTGTAGCTCAAGCGTTTTACATCCTATTCTGGCGAACTTCTAATTTTAATTCCAATTCCTGTCTAATTCAACTCTCATCTAATTTTAAATAAGTTATAGTTCAATACAAGTTTAGTTGAAATTCGGTTTTAATTCAGTTCTATCTTCGCTCTAACTAAAATCCAATGTAATTCTACCTAATTCTATTCTAGCTCTAGTCTATTTAGTTTAAGAAAACACATGCTACAAAACCCTGTGTTTTACAGTATTTTTTTGCCCTGGGAGTGCTGGGAACAAGACTAAAACTCTTTTTTGAAGTAAATAGTTAGATTTTGTTTATTTACAGTAATCACTGGACATAATATAGACATATTGAATTAGTTTTATGTACAAGCTTCTAATTCAAGAGCTTCCCTCTAGATCTCTGTGGATCATTTCTACAATAAAAATATATAAAAGCTTTCATTTCAAAAGCTTTCCTCTGGATCTCTGGAGATGATCATGTCAATTTAAACATGCTATATATCAATAAATATTATTGTATTCTTTCAAGAGCTTTCATTTCATGAAAACACACATATATGGGATATCTACTTTCCCAATGATCCAGAGGAAAACTTTGAAAATGCAAGCTCTTACCCGCAGAAATCTAGAATAGAGCTTTTAACATACAAGGTTTCTATATAGTTGTTTAAATCTAAACATGATTATCTGCAGAGATCTATAGAGAATCTTGTGTAACATAAACCCGTCTATATAAAATCTTTCCAAATCTAAACACTGCACTCTCACAGTCCCCCGCTCTCTAAAAAAACGAGACGCTGCTGAACATTGGGTTGAAGACCCCCCACCTTGGAGCCTACATACATCTTCTCGTACACGTTGCTCCACCTGGGCGTCGTGTGTGGCGCAGGCGTATGCTGGCTGCGTGGTGGCGCAGGTGTCCAGGTGTGGCGCCCTAGGGGTGGACGTCTTGGTGAATTCGGTCCCTTTCAAGTAATCCCAAACAATCCCTATAGGGCTCCACCTGGCCTACCTCCGTTTCGAAGGTGGGTCGGGTGGGTCATCTAGATGGTCTAAGCACATAACCTGAGGATATGGGAGAGGAGCCCTAGGGAATAACCCCTGGGCTTTCTGCAGGGTCTGGAAGTCAGTGGGATCTCATGAAAGACTGAAAGTAAGCTGAACAACCCGCATGCAGGACTCCCAGGGCGCGTAGGTGCCAGGAACGGTCCAGTCTTACCGGACCAACGGATCTTTAGGGCTAACACAACTCAATCAGGTTTTCAAGGCCAAGCCTTACTGAGGTCGGACCTGTGTGATCTGTGTGATCTGTCCATGTCAAAAACCCCCTGAACCCATGGAGAGAAAGATGATAAAGTACGTGTTTTCACCCATGTGTTCAACTCTCCTGGGGTTTACAACAGCTGAAAAACAGGAACGATATGAACGTACCTTGGGTCTATCCTAACCTTTGAGGGCCCCGTGGATGAGAATGGGGGTTGTCCATCTCTGTGCTTGTGACAACCTGACTGCGACAGGTTTAGAAAGACTAGGATCCCACTCTTAAGCATCGGAAAACTGGTCGAACGAGGTGGGTTTTTCGGGGCCACCCGTTTTCGCTTGGGGAGGACGACCCAAAGCTGGAACTCTCGAAACCGAACTGAACAAAAGGCATTTTTTCCCAGCTGAGACGATGGATTCCCGGGGCTTTACCCCGTTCGGGAACATAACACACCTGATCAGCCAAACCAGGCCAGAAGCCGACCATGCTTGACTCCTGTCTTCATCCAACAAAAACTCACCACATGCCATCTACCTACCTGGACCTGCGACCTTCCAATTCCACCCTCCCCCCACCGACCCACGGCGTTCCTTGAGCAGCGCTTGCGCTTGCGAGTGGCTGGTAACTGGGATCCAGTACGGCATCCATGGGCGCGCCACATTGGACGTTCAGACCGCCCCAGTAGAAGTTGTCGCCTCAACAAACGAGGGATTCCCAACGATCGGAAGCTGAAAGAAGATTCCCCAAGACACTCCATGGGACTGCCATGACGTTTGGGGAGTCGCAAAGAGAGAGGAGTTTTCTTTGAGGTTCCCAGGTCGGAGAAACTAGGAGCTGGTTTTGGAAGGGCATGAGCGGTACAGGTTTAAACATGTTTCAACCAAGCCTTACGTAAAGCGGGTTGAACAACTTTGCAGAAGTGTTTCCAACATGTGTGCAGGCTTGTCTCAATCCTATACCATTGTCACATGGCTGTGGGTCAAAGGCCCGTCACCCTGGGCCAGACTGCGGATCTGAACAGATTCCTCTATGTTCGGGATGTCAACCCACCAGGAACGGAGCTCCAGGCGCCATATGATCCATGACCCACAGCCCACAGGTTACGCAGACAGGTGAGGGCGCCCCCCATGGGCTTCAGGTCGAAGAAAAGCAAACGGAGATTACTTTCTGGATCCCCATGTCGAAACAGGTGGAGGGGTCTTGCAAGCCATTCCCCTCATTTTATAGAGGGTATGGCATCGGTATCTTCGGTACTTCATCGAGCCGCCCTGCTAAGGCGGTGGGAGAGGCAAGCTGGATACAAAGACGGACTGCGAACTGCAATGCTGTGCACCACAGGGGAAAGCTTGACGAGTCAGCCTCGGACGATGGGATTTCCACCTGCCCCCCCAAACCCAGTGGAGGAAGGTTGCAAACAAGCCGGCTTCGAAAGAAATCGAAAGAACCTGCCAGCATCCCACAAATAAACACATCTTGCAAAAACACACACACACATTGCAATACAGCAAACATCAACAAACTCTTTATGAACAACAAAATGATCACATAACGATCCAGACTCGTATCCCTAGGGATCCAAGTACCTTCTCAGAAGGCACTTGGACCCTCCAAACCCACCCCAAACACCTTCTGGGAAGGTACTATCCCTAGGGTATGTGATCGTCAACAAACATCCATCGATACATCATAAGCATGATCACATACCAGGACCATCCTGTCGAGGCGTCCTGGCTGGACTACCCTACTTATATCTATATAGGTCTCCAGACAGGGCACCCGGACAGGAAGTGCTACACGCTACGAATCACACGCGATCGCACGCGTCACGAATCTGGCTCTTCACCGGATACTGCTGCAGTCCGAATCAGAAGGATCGTCGGACCGGCGAAGGGTCGGACCTGCCGATCTGCCAGGCACGATCTGCCGAACTGCAGGCTGTTCGCTGGAACTGCAGGAATCGGCCGAATCAGCATGCTGAGCAGCGCCCTGTAACGACCGGGTTCGTTCGGTCGCAGCGACACCACCACCACCTCTGTTAGCCGGGCCGTCTGCGTCGTTCACAAAGCACGACCGGGTCTGTGGATACCGTGGCGAATGCACGGGCGCAGGACGGCTGCAGGTCCAAACACCGCATGTAGCGCACACAATGCAGGGTCAGTGAACGGAGCCCAGTGACATGAGTGACAGACCTGAGGACATGCGGTTCACAAATGTACCAAATCTGATTGGAAACTCTTTGATGCAGGTCGCAGGTCCTCTGCAATAACTCTTTCTGTTGCCTGCACGTGAATGATCGCGCAATGCGGTCGCTCCATCCGACTGAGTCAGGATGTCTTGCTCTCCACGAAGCTGCACGAACATAGGAGGACCTGAGGACCTATCTGTGTGTCCTCCCGGATCGTCGTGGGCTGGATTAGCCAAACAGAATGGCTTCCTGGAGGCCTCTGCAGCTAAATGGTGTTTCATTGAACACTTAGTGAGGCGGACCAACCCAAAGCGCCGAGTTAGGAAGTCGCGGTGCTCGTACCGCCGAGCCGTGGTTCTTGTGGTCTCCATCTGCAAGAAGTGTGCGAACCCGCTGATTGCCGGTGAAAAGTCAAGGCTCCACTTGGAAGTGGCAACTATGTTCCTTCCTATTGTTGGCAGGGAGTGCAAAACACGATCCAACATTTGGTGCCAAAGCATTCACGAAGTCTCATGGGGACTCCAGAAACACAACACCGGGTGCACCCTGGAAAGTAGAGAAGTTTGAAGTACTTCCCAGGGGCTATGACATCCACTTCCATGATTGTTGGATGGGGGTAGGACCCATGAACCTGATCATCAAATGGTGAAAAACCTTGATCTTTTTCATGGTTTTGAGGGCCACTGGGTTGGGGGTCTCCCTAAAGTACACACACCTTCACCCTCTCCTGGAAAGCGCGAAACGCTAAAAGCGCGGAAACCACTCGCGCTTCACTGCTTGAACGCCGAAGAGCCCAGGTTGATGACGAAGTCGGGATCAGAGTGCTGGCGTTGCAGTGGCCGTGGCCATGCAGATTGGCATGTGTTGGGAGCTCATATGATGACTCATATGAGTAACCCCTGCTCACTTTCACAAGCTGCACAGGGCCCCAAAACCGGCGCACCGCTCTTTTGGGGTGTTTGACCTGACCCAGAGGCGACCCCATTCGGACCCAAACCGGTCCTGCTACATGTTGGTGAAGGCTCCCTTTGATTTTGTGGCGATCGGGTTGGGTCCTGCCACTGAGCCTCTGGGTAGTGTATCATGTCCCAAACACTCCATGGCATAGGACTGCCGCCCCATTGACCCCTTTTCAACCACCGCAACTGATCGGCAGTCCTATGGCAGTCCAATATTAGTCGTGTCTGGGTGTTAGTTCCAACGTTCGTACAGGCGACTCCCGTCTGAGAGTAGCACCCTCGCCGGTTAAAAGACCATGGGGTTCGCGGAGTTCGCCGTCGGAGTTTTGTTCATCCGAAGCATGTTCAGGCATTTTCCAGCCAATATACCAGCACCGAACCCAACAGGTCTCCGAAATGGAGGGTTGGGTGTTAGGCCCTGTTGCAGGTGTCAATTGGTGACCTGTTGGAGGTGCTGGTACGTGAGCTTGTCTTTGGTATTTTTTTTGTTTTTTTCGTGAACACATCCCACTCATCCAACTCATGGCAAAGATACTTTGGATCTGTTTAGATGGTCAAGGACTGGTGCACCATGGTATACCTAATTGCTCAAGAACCAACCAGACTCAGAACGTGAACAAAAACGAGTCTGTACCAAAGTCAGAAAGCCTTCCAATTTCGCTGTTGGCCGTCCTCATATCTCCTCAGCCAGTTTTGCCTTGAGGTTCGACGTGGTTCGATTTGGGACCTTCACTCACCTTTGATGACAATGTTTCCTCTATATACAAATAACATATAGTTAACAGGTGGTTGGTTCTCCACGTAACTTACTTCCAGAAAGTGTACAAATAGACCAACTCAACGTCTGCTACGTCTGCCGGCTTGGAATGTTGGAGAGCACCTGCATATACCGTATACGTTCGTTCCACCCTGGAGCAACCTCCAGTGCTATAGTTCAGTGCCAAAAAACCACACCTTCGAATTCGCACCTCGAGCAGAACCAGCGGTGGTTCATTCCAGTTTCATCTGCCGGATCGAACCAATCCTCTCCACTCTGCCCCCCTTTGGAGACGAAGCCACCCGAGAAGCTAAGCCCACCCGGTCCAGGAAGACACCCACCCACCCTGCCGGACCCCCTCCGAAACCACCATTTCGGAGCGACCCACCCTCCGGCGCCTGGGCATGATAGGTGAACCACCTTGGGTGGGTTGTCCGCCGGTGGGTCGTCCCCGAATGACCCACAAGCTGGACATGGGACATACCTAGTCACATGGAGTAGGGTGGAAGCAAGAAGCTATGAACGGAGCAAGAAGCTACTATATATGGAAGCTCCATTTGGATGTACCTGGAACCTGTTTGTAACCTCTATTTTGGAACACCCACCACCCAAAATGAGTCAAACTTCCTATCAAAACAGAGGTCAAGTGGGTTCCAGGTTTATATACATACATTGGGGTGGTTGGTTGATTGAAGCTTGAAAAGGAGTCAACGTAGGTCAATATTTCAGTCCCAAACAGGTCGTGATCTGGGTATATAAGTGGGTGGCTGTTCTGTTTGGCGGGGCCATGAAGGTCACATGAAGGCTATGGAACCTCCCAGTGACCAAATATGTCCAGCCAATGGATGTGAATGGCCTTGGATTTGTCACCATGTGGCGCCGTCTTTTTGGGGTCTGTGAGACACCAGGGCCCTTCGGAGCCAGGAATTGGTCAACGGATGTCAACTCCGAAAAAGGTGTTAGAACTGGGCCATACACACATGAAACTGGAATAGCGACATACTACCTTTACCACTACCTTTACCCCATGAAAATGAGTCCAAACATGGATGCTCTGGGCAAGAATGGACTTGGCTGCACACCTTTAGATAGCCCATCCATTAGGACGATCGCATCCCTTGGCACGATCAGGACTGGACCTCCACCACGGCTTGATCGAAGCGGAACACATGCCAAAACGGTGTCGACAGGTGTCATTACTCCCGAGCCGGAACGGACCTACCCGAAGAATCCGAGTCCGGGCCCGACCGAGTCGCCCTCCATGGCAGGTGTTTGAACCCAACCTCTTGGCAGGTGTCTGGACGCTGAAAACATCTGAAAACTCTAGTCTATTTGAGGGCCCGGATTCTTCGAGTAAGGTGAATCGCACTTTCTACCTGTTTCCACGATGTGCAGTCGAGAGACTGACTCTGAACGCTAGAGAAAGAGTCACCCAAGTAACTGTCCACCCCACATGTCGAGGGTGGTGTGGCTCAAGTCCCATCCAGGATGTGACAGGAACACCCCGGAACCGGCACCGGAACCGAACGTGACTGGCCTCGAAGCCTAGCTTGACCCAGCTAGGGGTGTTCCCAGACCACGGCGTGGGCGGTGCTGAGCCAAAGTCACTTGCTGACATTGTATTGGGCCCAGGTATCTGAGCTATTGACCTGGCAAGCTGGCAGGGTAAGCTGGCGAGTTGGTGGGGTGGGAGAAGACAGGCCTAAGACAGGGCATTGGAGCTCGAGAGCTGTGGCAACGCATACAGTTCATCAGGCTGTAGCGTGGGAAATGACAGGGGAAAGGGTGGCGTTAGGTAGTAAGAAAAAGGTGCAACGCTGGAGCTTTCTGGTGTTTGAAGAAAGCTGGCTTTCATATGCTTCAACTGCATCTACTCAGATCCCTATCCCATATAGAGATCATGTTCCAAGCTCACTCAACTGTTGCTGTCTTCGTCTGGAGGGAGGTTGCGAGGTAAAACCAGCCCTGCCCAACCACATCGGATCTGCTTTTGAATCCATCTGGGATACAGTCGTGGTTCAGGCTCTGATTTGGGTTGGATGTGTCACCATGTTTTTCACCCTTTGTGGGGTCCCTGATCAGAACTAACTAGGGTGAACTCATCCACATCAATGCGTCTTCATCTTGCTTGCTCGTGGCTGCCCTTGGCTTCAAGAACCCATGGGCCCTTGGGCCCTGTCATACCCCATGGGCCCTAACCAACACATATGGTTTGGTTCCCTGTGAAGGTGGAGAAGGTCCGACCCCTGTGAAGGGTGTCGGGCCAGGATTCCAGCAAAACACGGTCACCTTCTAGGTCCTCAAGGGTTGCGTGCGCAGGGTCTGAGCCCATCAAGGCAGTGGTCTTGTGGTCCCCAAGCCTTAAACTTTCAGTCTTTCGCCACACAAATACTTCAGATACCCCAACAAACCTACGCATGACGGGGAGTTGCACCACGCGTTTTTATCTGGGGTGCCAGTACTTGTGGTTACCACCCAGTGTCAATGACGGCTAAATTGGATGGCATAGCTTATGCCAAACTCACTTATAATCATATCACATCATATCACCAACAATCGTAGGAATAGTTGCCCACATTGGAGTGATTTCAAGCTATGAATCATAGTGCGTCTGAACTTCAAGTGGCCCAATTTCTCATTCTCCCCACCTTCTTTCTATGATGAGAGGCGAAGTCTTTCCTCAGCGTTGGAAGATGGGTGATGGAGTGATGGTGGACGAACAAAAAAAAACGAACGAGCAAAGAAATGCTCTCTCTCTCTCTCTCCCGGACTTTCTTCTAAGTGAGCATGACTTGAATGAATCGCAACTCTACTACAATCTGCAGGTGACCTTGTCAGATCTGTCATCTCTCAAGCATCAAACGGGCCAAACAATCTCCCTAGGCTACTCCCTAGGCTGCTACAACCTATGGGGGTCGCTGGGTCCACTGAGAGAAACCTCCGTTTCCCGCATCAGGTCGATCTGACCCTCGTTGCGTCGACCTGTTGAGAACACCTGACCGCCCGACGGACGGACGGAGTCTGTTTAAGTTGAGGCCCCACACTCTCCGACCTCATCCGATCTCTATGACTGTATGTACCAGGACCCTTCGACAGGCTGTTTGGAGACCCGACCACAGGTGGTGAACCTGGACACCTGTTGTCACCAGGAAACACCTGTTGAAAGGTGCTGGTACATGTTGCATCCCTCAAACCACCCAGTGTATCATGATATGGAGTGTCTGGCATCCCTGGTTGTGGGGGTCAAAACCCTGGCTATAGAGGGTCTAATGAGCCTTTGGGTATAGACAAAAAAAAAGAAACACGCAAAAAACAAAACCAACCGCGCTGCACCTCCACCACTGTCTGCCCCAAATCCTGTCCCGAGAAGGGCGTGACACCCCTCGAAATCCACAAGAAAATCCCAAGGAAACGACCAAGAATGTGTGGGCCATCCCAGGTTACATTAACTTGATCCATTTGTCTCCGCCCAAGTTCATCAGCTTTGCCAAGCTCAACCCCAGGTGAAACTGCCAGACATCACGGTCGCCAGGGGTCTCGGGACCCGTTGGTCGCCCGAACGGGTCGACGGTTCGGGACCCCTTCGTTGTGGAACGGAGCGGCCTGGGCTTCAACGAACGTAGCTCCTGGCATTACTAGTAACAAGAAGCTATGCGTAGCTACGAACGGAGCAAGAAGTTGCGAACGTAGCTGCTGGTAATATCTTGTATTTCCCAGTCAGGCTCAGTGGCAGGACCCTCAGATCGCTAGGGTGAAATGACCCTCACAACCGGGGTGAAATGGACCCTTCACCAACATGTAGGACCGGATCGGGGCCGAGCTGGCTCGTTCGGGTCCGCCTCTGGGTTGGATTGGATCACCATGGGTCGCCTATCCTAGACACTCCATATCATTGATGAACTGCCCTAAGAATCCTTGGGCTGTCCATGGGTCCGGGCGGGTCCGGGGTCAGACCTTCTCCCTCTTCGCGTTCGGAGTCCGGGGCCGAACCAAACCCTATCTGTTGGTGAAGGGGCCCGGATTCTTATGATTCTTAGGGTGGGTGGTTGGATGTATCTGGTGGTCCCCACAACCCACTGCCCCACGATCCGTTTGGACCCTCCGAGGTGCTTGGTGTGGTCGGCCGTGCGTGGCGGATGGACCCAGCCTGGAAGGAGGGAAGGAGATGTGCAAAGCAAGGGAGCCTCCCAAACGCGACCCGTTCGGCCCCCGAATCCTCTGGAGGGGTCGGACCCGAATCCGAACTGGTCAGGGGTCTGGGGTCTCAAATTCCTAAGGTTTTGAGGGACCAGGAAAGGGCTGTGAACGGAGCGTCTGGGCTGGACAAAAATAAAGATATCTTCTCCAGGTAGAGGATTGACCCATCAGGGAAAATGGACCAATCACCTTGGAAAAACAAGAACACGCGTTCCCAGGAATGGGGATTAATTGGGATTTACCCAGTTCGGGAAAATTGACCAATCACTTGATCTGCAAAACCAGGCAGCCTTTGACGGTGTCGAACCAATCCACGACCTCCGGGCGCGCGTCCGACCGATGGCGCCGATGGCACGACGATGGTGGTCGGACATGGCACAAGGTTCGTGAGCGCTTGGGTGTGATCGGGTGGGATTAGTTGACTTGGACCATTGGCTCCATCACATGAGGGCCCAGTGGATGATGGGGACGGACGTTGGGGGGGCTTGCGCTCAAAAAGAGAGACTGTTACTGCCTGAGGGATCCAAGATGATCCAAGTACCTTCTCAGGTACGGTGAGGACGGAGACACTGTCTTATGTAGGCTTTAAGGGTCCAATGTACCGAACCTGAGAAGGTGCGACTGGATCCCTAGGGCTGGTCATGGGACAAACAACAATTGGCAATTTGACAATTTGGACCATACCAAGAAAACCGTGATATATACAATATACCAGGACCTTCCAACAGGTCACCACCTGCGACTTTTAAGTCTACAAAAGTCTCCAGAAGAGACCTCTTGGAAAGTGCTGGTATGTATATTTAATATATTACAGTAGAGTGTCTGGGTCTTCTCAAGACGGTTCCTGCGCTTGACTCTCTCAGCTCCGTTCCGGCCTCCTTTCGGGCGGAATTTGGAGCATCTTCTGAACCAATTTTGCTGGACAGATTTTGCTTATTGAATCAGGTGAAGCAAACTTTCCAAGTGCTTTTGGGTTGAGTGGGACACTGCCCACTTCCCTAACAAATGGTTTGGCAGGTGATCCACGGGCTTCCTGGGTAGGATGTGGTTCGAGTGATTTCCTCGGCGTTTCGTTCTTCGACGCTGGTTGATGAGATGTATATAGAGTCGATGAGAAATGACTCGAGCACTCAAGCACTTAGACTTGCTATAATACCCAAACACTCCATGTATGCCATATATACCATTGACCCCTCAAACCACCCCAATGTAGGCATATATGGCAGTCCCATGGAGTGTCTGGGATAGTATGATCAGACATGTGCACAACGCCATGCGTTGAGCCTTTGGAACATGGCCTTCATGTCTTCTGCTATCAGATGAAAGGTCACCTGAAACCCTCTTTGGTAAAGCTCCAAAAGAAGGTGATCCCAAGAAGGAACCAGCAGTCAACCCCCCAAGTTCAAGGCACACAACTCCGAACTCCCGTTCCAAGTTCCGCAAGTCCAAAGCAACTCAAGTTCAGCGACCTTGTGACAGTTCAGCGACCTTGTGACAGTTCAGCGACCTTATGACAGCTTATATGACCTGCATGTTTTCTTTTGGTTCAACCCCTGTCCTCCGGCTCATAGACGGCAGTCGGACGCGTTAGACTCGAAACGACACGACGGCATCGGACTAGAGCATCAACGGCCCAGTCGACGATCGATGTCTCACCATCGGCCGGGGCGGTGTATTTCCCAGACACGACACGTCTGCGACTGTCATAGGACTGCCTTCAAAACGGCCAGGGGTGGGGCCATGAGGGGTCTGTCTGGGGCGGCATATTACATGGCAGCTCCCAGACGTGTCGTGTCTGGGAAAGACACTCTGACGAGTCAACATCACATGGTTACGTGGAGAAAAACCACCTGTTTTGTAGAGGACAGGTGAACTTCCAGCGCCCCATGCCATCCAGGGCCCCATGCCATCCACTTCCATGTTAGTGAGTTAGAGGGTACCATGAACGGAACAATGTAAATGTAAGGGTACCACCTATACCTGGACCTTCCAACAGATGGTATTGAAACCCTAACATGTAATTTCTGTGCACCAGGTGTCTACAGGAAACACCTGCTCAAGGGTCCAGGTGTAGACTGCTTGAACTACGGATCCTGCATCCCTTGGGCCGATGGAGTCCCTGGAAGACCACTGCCGAGCCTAGAAATATCCCTGCCATGTCGCCCTTAAAAAAAGACGGCTACCTGGTCTAGTCCAGTAATTACTTCTCCTGCGAAAGCCCCTCATTGGCGTCCACAGATTCTGTGGAAAAAGGCCAGCGTCTATATGAACACCCCTGTCCGTTCGTGCTTTCTCTCCTTTGACTTTCCGAACCGTGCCGCTTCCGACCCCTCGCTCTACACTCTACACGATGGGCCGCCAAGTGGCTCCTCCCCAGTCGCCAATCACAAAGATGTGGTGGCTGCCTGGCCGGCGCCAACGGAGACACCGGAGACGTTTCGCACACGGAGGCGAGGCGAACAAAGAACACAGATCAGACGGTGAGGTGGTCACGGGTGACGGTGAAGTTCTACAACAGAATCTATTGGTTCGGTGGCCTATATATTATTCCAACATAATGTGAGGCAAACAATGACTCGGAACCAACAAAAAACAACTGATTTGGGAACGGAAGGAGTTTCATTCTTTCTCAAACACGACCTGGTATTTAGGATGCCTATTGGATCCCGAAAAAAACACACCAGCTGCTTGGTAAAGATTCCAATAGATGGAGTGTCTGGGATTGGATTTGGACTGGTATTCTCTGGGCTTCATTCGGTTTCGGAGTTTCTTTGATGCATGCCGAGTTCTTTTGGGATTTAGGGGCCGTTCGATTGACACACTCGACCACGGCCTTCAAACAACACATGGCCCTCACTCAAAGTGCACAAGTCCAAGTGCTAAGCAATAATTTGTAGGTGCATGATGTACCCAACATAAGCACTGTACATATACTAGTTGGGAGAGTGAATTATTCAACATGCTATGTTTTCTATTACCTGGCATGATATAGGCATCTAGCAGGTGAAGCATCAGTATTGACCCAACTATATTTACTGATGCACGGATTTCTACATGTCTTGTTGTTTCTCGAACTGTATACTGTATTCATCATATTTACACAATATGTACCTATCATATACCTATTGCTTGTTCACCTGGGGGGTATCCCTTCTTTTGAATCCCAAACAGGGCCGATTGGAAGGCCAAAACACAGACTGATCATCAGGCTGATCGCCAGGTGCTTTGGGAATTCTGAGCTGCTCAATTGATGGCCACAGTTGATGGCAAAGTTAGGAAACAAGGGTTGTCTAGCACTTTTTCAGGTCCAACAAGCTCATCACCTGATCTGCAACCGCTACATGTCTTTAAACTAAAAACCAGGAACCGGACAAAAAGTCAAACAGATTCCCCAGAATAAGAGGACTCACCCAGTTCAGTAGAATTGACAAGTCACCTGATCTGCAACCACCAGGGATGTTTACATGAGCTTCCGTGGCCCTCCTTGCACGCCAGATGTGGGCTTGATCCAAAACTCACATGGGACGGCACTCTCAGGAGGCCAGGCTTGTAGATACACACTGGAGAACACACCTATCTGAAGTGTCCAACATGATCTACCTCTCTGAGTCTCTGTGCTTAGCAGGATGTCTGAAGACATGAATTGACCAGCCTCTTGATCTGCCGCCACTCCAAGTCTCCACCCCCCCACACCAGCACCTTCCAAGTCCTGGTGGTTTTTGGGACACCCTAAATCACCTCTTTACGAGGCTACTAAAAAAGACACCTCAGAAGGTGTCGGTCCTGGTCTATAGAGCTTGGGTTTGGACACCAGTGGACTCGGCGGCCCGCCTTTGGAGTCATCTAAGAAGCAGGTTCTCCTGGGAGGCGAGGTGGCCGCGATTTCACGCGGCCCACGAAGTCGGCAGCGTTTGCCAGCGTCGCCCCGAGACCCACGGAGTGTCTGGGTGTAAAATGGAGGTGTCCCGCTATCACCTTGCTCGAGAGCCTTGGGGCATAAATAGACACACAGAAACAAGGGGCCCTGGTATGGGCTCCGCGGTTCTAACAGGGGTGGGTGTCAGGAAAGGTCAGTTCCTATACAGTATCCCCCACTAGGGGGATTTACTTTTGAAGGGTTCCCATCCACTCATCCGACTGTGGACCTGTCTGAGTATTATAGCTACGCGGTGTCGCGGAACACGTCTATAAGTCTTAGACTCACCCGCTCTTGTCGTGAAGCTGGTCGTGTTTTCAGCTGCAGCTGGTCGTGTGTTCAGCGCTGACAAGTCGTTGGATCGATTGATCGACCCGCCAGGTCCAGTGTTTCAGTTCTTCTCGATCGTAGGCAATATCTCACTCCCAGGACCGAGGTGTAAGAGGTGTCTATATAGATATAAATAGCCTCTTAGAGGTGAGAAACGGGGTGTCCAAGAACCACCGGACTTGGACTGTCAGTCCTGGTATTCTATCTCATCTCTCATCTCATCTCCGTCCGCCACACCAATGACTATCACGTCATCGAGATCTCCACTCCCCGGAGGTGGGTGAAGGACCCGAGGTCGTTCGCCGGTTACCCCAGGTCCACCGGATCCTAGCTCCGGTCACGTTCGCTACCTCTCTGAGCCACGGAACGCGTCCACGCCGGAACGCCCCGGCGCCGACGGCGTTGCGGCCCGAGGCGCGGGAGTTCCACGCCGTTCAGGTCGGTGGCCAGCTCCGGAGGGTTCTGGAGGACACCAGGAACCGCCGAGCGGCGGCCGGGTCGACCCGCGAGGCCCGCGGTTGCCGCCGTTGCCGCGGAGTGCCGCGGTGCTTCGGTGCGAAACGTGCATACGGAGCAAGAGAGGTTGGAACAGCGAAGAAGAGAGGTTGGAGCAGCGGCACTCTGAGAGTTGAATAGGAAAAACATCCTGTTCCAAGAAGGTGAACGGTCTTTCTCAAGGGCACTCTGAGAGGGTTTGGTTTGTGACCCGGAAAACCTGGGATAGTCGAACTTTCCAGGTCCTTCAACCTCGTCCAATTCAGCGGGTGTTGTCCACGGTGGATGTGTGTGCGATCCATGGTGTAGTTCCAGATGATTTGAACCACCCAAAGGCTCATTGGACCTTCATAGCTAGGGGTTTCACCCTCACAACCAGGGTCTTGGACCTCAAAGTTTGAGGGTCCAAGAGCCTCTAGGCAAATTGATGTGGTTGATTCGATGGATTTGATTGGATATATTTGAACCATTTTGAACCTCTGATATAATCCCAGACGGGCTCCAAGTACCTTCTTAGCAGGTACGGGCTCCAAGTACCTCCTCAGAACGTACTTGGACCCTCTAAACCCCGAAACACCTGCTAAGAAGGTACTTGGCCAAACAGGGCCCTATAGGGAATGTATGTGATTTGACTTGAACCAGATCCTTTTCTGGTTTCGGCCAACCATCGCATCAAACATGGTAGCTCCACCGATCCAATCAGTTAAACCACGGAAGGAGAGAGCTTCATCCAACCTCTCAGCGAGTAGGCTCCCACTGTGAGCAACACGTGTTCTATCATTGTTCTCATCCAAACAACACTCAATCTGCTAGTCGGGGAAAAAAGACACAATCTGCATGTACCAGGACACCCCTAAGGGGCTTCTATTGATAGCCCAGATGTGAACGGGTGTCCATGTCTACCACCCCTTGTGGGGTCCTGGTATGATGTTGTTTCGCACCCGGGGGCGACAAGCTATGACGAGGCGCCAGGCGCGAGCGGGTCTGGGAAAAGCGAAGATGCGGCAGATTCCAAACAACAAAAGAACAACGACCTCAGAGCCTCGGTCCTGTCGAGTTCTAAAACGAGGCTGGCAATTGTCATAGTCCATGATCTTGGGGTCCTGGCATGTATGGAGTGCAGCCACTCATGGAGAGGAGGGGTGCTAAACCCACCGAAGTGGAGGGCAGGCGCTCCCAGCTTGCTCCTCCCAGAGACTGTCGCAAACTCGGGTGTCCTACAGTCTATTGTCCGAGACTGGGAGTTTCATTTGGTATATTCAAATATGCTATAGGTCATACAATTCTGCAGCACTCCTTGAACTCCCTGCATGTTTTCGAAACCATGCGCTTAACCCCCACGCGTGGTCAATCCCCGAAAGCAGGCGAAGGCGCGGGCGAAGGCGCCGCGATCGTCGGATCGAGTGGAATGGAAGGATAGGATTGGGAAGAGCCTTTGGCATGGAGATTTGGTTAGAATTCCATAGGAAGGGCCTCACCAATTGGATCCAATTTGTGTTGCAAGAACATCCTGCACCACAAAACATGCCCGCCAAGATATGCATAGCCAATCATAGCCAGCCCTGGCTACTTCCATTGAAACAACACAGAACCACCGCAACCGCTTCTCTTTTTGCAGTCCTGCCCTCCGAAAATGGCTCAGCTACTTCCATCTAAACCCATCCACCGAAAACCCACCAAAACCAACTTTGGTCGCAGTTGCCGCAGCGACTGACGGCGGATTTCGGCCACCAAGGACACCAGTCGTTCGGTTTCGGGGTCCTTCCAGATCTTGGTTCTTAAGTTCTGCTTCATCTCTTGACCTGGCGCAGCGATTTCTGGACGGCGCTGCTGTCGGAATACAGCGCAGAGTGCCACCCCAATTTGATCTCCGGACCGGTCTCGGCGAAGGACGTCGCGTGGCGACTTCTCTGCCGCCGGACGGTGCAAGGGAAGTTTGTATGGCGGTTTGTCCCGAAGAAAGCCGGTGAGAAGCACAGGTCGGAGGGCTACCTGGACCTGGTATAAGAGTTATATAATTAGTCTAGACGTCAGTTCATCTGAACACGTTCCAACTATAGTACTAAGTGGATTCGGAAAAATCTTTGACTCTGCACCCGAGACCTGCTAGGTCACCACCTGACAATCCTGACACTTTGAAGTCTCCATTTCAGCCTCTGCATAGCTCGACCTGTAGGACCTGTAGAGTCGGGTGCTGGTATCAAGGCTTGGCCTATGGACTACGACCGTTCCGCCGTTCCAGCTATCCTGTTGTTCCGGGAGTGAAGAACTGGATACCTTGCGAGCGGCGTGGCTCCGAAGTGAAAGCCAACTGGGAACCCCCGTGTGAGAACCCCTACTCAAAGGAAAGCAAAGCCTTTTGGTCAGAGGCTCCAACAAGTGCACCTTGAGCGAATCCTCCGATCAAAAAAGAATTATAGTCCGTTCGACCAGTTTTTTAAAGTGGAAACGATCTGGTTAAGATCGTAGTGTAGTTAATTGCAAAACAGCTGGTTTCTTCGGGATGATCTGGCTTTAAAATAAGTGGGAAAACGACTTCTAGGGCATAAACGATAGCCGGATCTGCCTCCCGGGTCATCCCGAGCCGCCGTTGGGCGGATTAAAACCAGATGAATGGATGAACCATCGATCACCCCAAAAGGGTGAATTAACTGGTACCGTGGTTTCAACACACCCTAAGAACTTGGGCCCGAAGCAACACATAAGGTCCGGCCCCTGCTATGACAGTGACATAATTGAACTCTTTTCTCACACCCCATGGACTCCGAACTCCCAAAAATGGCCGGGCGGCTCAGCCCGCAGGTTGGCTCAGTTTTCGGAGCAAAGGCCAACGGTCACCGATCGGATGCCTTTACAGACCAGGACACACCACGGAACTTGAGACGTCCCATTCGGGGCATGAAGCGTGAAGTTGCTTGATAGGATTTGATCTATTCATCGATGAATATGCGCATAGTTAATCCACTAAGTGAACTTGCATGTCTGTGGCGGTGAGGAGAGGCCGAGCCGAATGCTCCGATGCTTTGAACCGGAAACCGTCCTCGTCGGTCGGTCTCTCCGGATGGAACTTCGGCCGACGCATAAGGCCTGGACCGTCAACGTGGAAAAGGCCCTGAAAACCACTGTTTCAGAGGCTCCGAACCTTGGAACTGTCCCACCACCTGTTTCTGCTTGGGGCCTGGGTGGGTCTGAATCATACTCCCATGCAGCTGACCCGTCTGACGGGTGCAGGCGCATGCTGGCGCCTTCGAGTGCATCGAAGGTCTTGTACATGGAGGGCTGGCCCTTCGCACGATGCCTCAGATCGATCAAGACTGTCCAGGCAAGCGAACTCCGGGTGAACCGGGTGAAGGTCACACCGGGCCGAGGTGTTCAGCTCTACACCCTAACCAGCTACTCCAACAAAAGAACCACGAGAGGAGCAACTAGACTAGAACCGCCCCCCCCACAAGATGTTGAATCCGAGCTGGTATGAAGGACGAAGATGCAAACCGGTGACGAGTCGCCTTCCGGAAACTCGGTTGTGGCGTGGTGTGGCACTCCGAGGAACTAGAGGGCATGGGTGAAACAGCAGGGGGAATCCCTCACCAAAACGTCTACTTTGTTGAACTATACCTGGACCCTCCGACCCTCGGGGTGTCCTGGCTGGACTACCCCACACTACCGGCCTAGGCTTCCATTAGACACCCCTTGGAGGGTCTTGGTATATTATACTTGCTATAGTTGAAAGATTGATCGACCTGACTTGAGCCTGGAGCCTCTGATTTGAGCATCCCATATCCAGTTTGCTGATCCAGTGCCTGTGCCCTTCCCCTAGTATATATCCGCCAGAACATCCATGGTTGAACACAATCGTGGTGGTCCCCGAAGTAGACAACACATACCACCTTTCAGGGGTGCTTTATGCCCTGCAAACATGACAAAAAAGCATGTTCACTCTCCAAAGGAGGCAGTTTGGGGTGCTAAATCATCTTGAATCAATGCCAGCCATGATCCAGTTCCTGAACTCCAAGGACGGGTCGGGGGGCCCAAAGAATACTGAACAACCTGATTTTTGCAAGGTTGCATAGGTGGAGACAGCATAAACCGGCTTTCGGAGGGCATAGACAGCTCCGAGTCTTCAACATCCCCGCTTGCAACCCCCAAAACTCCCTACATAGTCGGAACTGTTCAAAACTAACAACATGTCGCACGACTTCTAGGCATGGTGATCATTTTTTTTGTGGACCCTCACCAAATTGAGTAGGCATCTGATGTAGGCCGCCCAGTGGCGTGGTCTCTCCATGCATGGGCGTGACCTCGTCCGGCCCGGCCTGAGGAATCCAATCGAAGCAACGACGCAAGGTGCGCTGGGTTGGGTCGGACGGCAGCCGAGGTCTTTTCAGGTGCTAAGCATGGTCAAAGGCTCCGCCAAGAGCAAAAACCCACGGCAAAGCACGGCATAGCCCAGCAATTTGTTCTAAATCCCTGTCAATATTGATAGAATCATCCCAGATATCAATATTGATAGAATCTTTGCCCGGGATTAAACTTATCGAAACCTTGCATTGAATGTCATTTGTGGACAGATTGTGAACCATCATTGCACACCATTTACGTGATTATATCATTCATCATTCAGTGATAATATCACAAGAAACTATACTAAACAATATTCAACAATTGTGCTCATTAATCATGGCTCAGCTAGATCAACAATAGTCAAGTTAAACATGAAGTAAGCCTCTAAGTTTAGAATGGAACCTTGCATTATTTCATCTTCTTTCGTCGTTTTCATATATAAAAAAACACTCGCAGTGCAAACTTTGCTGCAATTGTTGTGCAAGGATAATCGATTGGATGAACAAATGAAAGGCTGCATGATTGACTTGGATCGCCTGATGTTTTGCTGCTAATCTGCTTCCAAGGAGATGATAAAATGCCGATGGACAAACAACCACTTCAAACGCTGATAGCCCATCCAACATGCCACTAGAACTGGTGCAGGATATTCTCGCACAAAAGAGATGCATGTCGCTTCATGCACGGGAACGCAACCACGACTCAAAAGGCACCAAAAACCAACACATCTTCGAATGGATTGGCTTGCTGAACCGGGAGGACATCATCAAACCGATTGGCTTAGAGGTCCCTGTATGTGGCCATGGGGATGGATGGGATGAAAACCTCAGCCCAACACCACATGGACACCTGCCCTTTCCAGCAACCACACACACCGGTGACCCCTCCGGACCTTTTGGCGACCTCCAGCGCTGTCCTCCAGTGACGGTCCGGTCCGCGCTCGACCGGTCCCTCCGAGGCACGGTGGAGGTCCGCGGTGCTCCTGGCATCGTGCCAAAGACCTGCGAGGGACGGCACCGGTCCGCGGGAGAACCCGCGGGTTGGACGCAGATCCGAAGCCATGGACAAAGGTAAAGATAAAGAAGCTAGTAATAAGTAACAAGGGCATCGCAAACGGAGCAAGAAGCTACTATAGTACTATAGAAGCTCCTGGCAATATCTTGCGATGTACCTGGAACCTGTTTGTGACCTCTATGTTGGACCACCCACCACCCCGGTCATTCCCTTCCTCTCAAAATTAAAGGTCATATCTGGGTTCCATATAGTCATATAGTAACTATATAACACATATAGTGGGTTCGATTAAACACCATAGAAAAAAACATGAAAACACCTCACCTGATCCACCAAACCAGCTAGTTCACTGTTTCGGGTTCCGAACACAGTCAGTTCACAGAGCGAAACCCATGTTTGGCCATGTCTGGCCCACGAGAGGGGGTGGAACGGCTCCCAGTCTTTTCCAGTGGATTCACCCAGAGTCACCGGAACATCATGACCCCAAGCAAAACCAGGTAGTTATCATGGGTGAAGTGTTCTCTACCATGTGAGTTTGAGGACTGAAAATCGGATGAGCATACTTGCTGGCCAACATTGGTGGAGGAGTTCTTACTAAACCAAAGTCGAAAACTCCTACCTAATCTTTGGGTGACGCGGGATTGGGAACTTCTTAACTTGTACAATCTTTGAGACTTAAAACGGTAGACTCCCGTTCCGACTTTGGTTCACATGTTGGCTGGGCACGCAAAGCTGTTTCCAAGAAGCCTTCAAGTGTTTTTGGACGAAAAAAAGCAAGGATTGAATAGGATTACACTCTTTGGACAGGTTATATCATGCCCCCAAACGCTAGACTTCAGGTTTGCATGGTCCCACATTCTATCTCGAGAGCCAGGGAGTGTTTTGGAAATTTCCAGGGTCTACGGTCTACCTCGTGGGCGAACAAGTCATCACTTCAGTTCCTGTGAATGGGTCGAAGCTGTCCTAAGGGATTGAGCATCTATCCCCCAAGCACCAAACATGAGAGGGTACGGTATATATAGTAAGATGAATCGTTTGGGAAATCAACATGTCGAAAAGTCAGCAAACATACATAATGTAATAATATATGGACACAACATAACCTTTAAATACTAATAGTAAATGTAAAATTACATGGTGCACATTTATGAAAAAAACACACTCTGACTCTCTGACATTGGTTTGCTGTTAACTCAATTCCCACGTCGAGAAGGAAGGTGAGGGAAACGCAAGGTGAAAAGGTCAGCGCAAATGAAATGTTTAACAAATTGTTCACTTGTCTGCAGCTCACGAAACGTGCAGCATCTGAAAGTGGCGGAAGGAAAATGGTTTATGGGAGGTAGCATGAACCACCATGGAAGCAAAAAACAAAATTGGACAGCATGATCAACAGTTGCGTCGCAGGTACAGGAAACTGGCCAAGTTTCCCTTCCCACTCTTATCCACAGCTTCGTTGCGTGTGCTAGGACAAGAGTGTCACACGCCCCTGCTTTTGCAATGGAAACGCAAAGAGAAGCGGTACCCTTAGGAACAGGGGTTGACACACACAGGGAGCCGAAGTCGGCGCAGGTGCATGAAAGGTGGCACCGGCATGCTGTTGGGTCATGTCCTTTGTGGACGTACAGCCGGATAAGCTCTTCAGCCGCTGCCGCGGCCTTGTGTGGTGGAAAGGTGTATGTGTAAATTGCATGTAGTCTGGAAGCTAAGCCGGAAAGAGCCAAGCGCTGGCTACCGGCGCTGGTGTGGTCCCTGATTTTCCAGGGTTGTGTGGGTTGGATGTAGGTGATGGTTCGTTGTGGGAGGTCAATGTTAAAGCCCAGGAGGTGAAAGTCATCCACTGTTTCCAGCTCCACTGGATCGCCAAAAAAGTTGTGGTGGATGAGAGTCTGAATGGCCGGGTGGGAGAGGAAGTGTTCGTTGTGCACAATGAAACGGTTGTCGACGTATCTGTAGTAAGTAAAGTGGAGGGCAGTGTGCTGGAGAAGATTGTCCATCCATGGGTGTCCACTAGACTACCCTACACTACTTAAAGATGCCCATTGGACACCCATTGGCCACTCCTGGTATAAACAACCTGTTCGTATCTCCTTGACCGGTAAAATTGTTCCGCAAGGCTCATGGCACCACCCGCCTGCTTGGGTGCCGCTGGGGGAGCAGGAGCCGGCCTCGGCGACGGTCACGTCAGGGCCCTGGGGTTGAACCCAAAAATGAAAGGAAAGCACACCAAACCCATGTTTTTTGGGGAACCCTTTTTCAGTGGTCATGAAATTGCATGCACGAACTTAATGCACTATATGTGATCATGATGTGCTGTTTCTTTGTATCCAGCGTCCGGTCTCCTTTCCGTCTGGTCTCCCTAGCGATTGGGGAAGGACATTTCCACCACATGCCCCGCGGAGCTCCGTGCGCGGCGAGCTTAGAACGAACCTGTAGCCCAATGAAAACGTCTTTACCGAAGGAAGGGGTATAACGGGTATATACCAGCTGCTTCCGTTCGGGGTCACCTGGCTGGATATCTCCACACTACTCTGTCTGGTCTCCAGACAGGGCACCCCGACAGGAAGCGCTAGGTAGAGTTGGGGTCTATCCGTTCTTACCTGGGCCCAGTGGATGATGATGGTTCAGTTGCAGGCCGACAGTTCAAACATAGTGATAAGTGTTGACTGTTACAGGTATTGCGGGTATTAGCATAGCACAGACCCAAGGTGCCGATCAGTTGGACCCTGAACACCCGCAGATAGACGCACATCATCTGCTTGACGGGGAAAACCCATCTCCGGGCCGTTGTCCCAGCCGGGATGGTCCGGTGCGGCTCGGCTGCAGCCGTTGAGACGTGGAAGCTGCAGATCTTCCAAAGTCCGAAGGTTTACCTGCAGGTAGCTAAGTTATGTATAGGTTTACGGTTGACCTCACAGGTACTGATAGATGTCTGCCAAAATGTAAAACCATCTCTCCCAATCTTTGGGCCAGTGTACCCAGGTGAACCCAAAACAACGAAACACGCAAACGATCGCAAACGCATCACCTCACTCTCTACTCTGCCCGTCTGCCGCCCGTCTCTCACCTCTACGAACGTCCTGGACCGATGGACCAGGCTTTGAACCGATGGACTCCTTCACCTCTGCGGAGCTAAGCAACCCGGTTGCGGCGAGTTGCAAGAAGCGCAGGCGGAAGCCAAGGGAAAAAAGCTAAAAAACTCTTCTCCAGGTACGGGTAAGTCATGGGGTTTCTATCGCGAACATAGGTGAATAGATGAACATCGAGCCATCACTCGTCATCCTGTCCTCATACGGTCTCCGTCACCCGAGAGGTCGTCCGGTCACCTCATCCTCCCCCCCGCCGAGGTCCGGGACGAGAACTCGCCGTCTCCGCCACCTGCACCGGCGAAGGTGGTTCGGAACTGGAGGTCGATCTGAGGTCTGACTGGGTGGCCCTTTTTGAAGGGTGGGTGGCTCAGAAAGGCTTACGAAAAATAGGGGGTCAATGAAAGAACAGTCCAATTCTCATGGATTGATTGTTGGGGTTATGAAACTTTATGAAGCCAAATGCAGAGTTGAAGACTCTATAGATGTGTCTTGCCGCAAGCGAGCTCTCGATCAAAAGACGGAAATACAGAATGATCCACCAGATCACCTTTCTGCTGATAAGGCAATTCTTTATCCTGTTGGAGTAAAGATTCAAACGCCAGGGTATATATGGTCAAATGTAGACGACCGAAAGTAGCGGAACTTGCCGTTGCTACAGTCTGCAAGCCGGTTTTGGCCAGCAACAGAATTCAATGAACGATCGAAGCATAAGCGGAAGAACTGCTGCTGCAGTCTGATAATCTGCTGTTTCTGCTTGTTGTGCTGTCTGTCTGCCCCTGGTCTGCCTCTGCTTCTGTTTCTCCTGTTCAGCTCTGCTACTCTGCTGGTCGGCTTCTGCTTTGCCTGCTGCTGGCAATGCTGCTCCTGGTAGGACCTCTTGCTGTTGTAAGTACCTGGAACCTGAATGATCTCTATGTTGGACCACCCCCCAAATATTAAATATGGTATTTTCCTATCAAAACAAAGGTCAAGTGGGTGCCAGGTAAGACATCTTCCTCTTGTCACATCTCCTTGTCCTCAACACCTGTGAGTTGGAGTCTGCGTTGGCCTGGTCTGTCAGGCCTAGAAGCTCCAATTTCGAGATGTTATTTGCTAATTTTGGGAGGGTTGCTTTTGAGCTGTTTTGTTTCTGGAAGCATCTTTTTCCATGATTCACTCTATAGTCGCGAAATCGTGGGCTCTTTGAACCGTTTGTATTCTGAAGATTGGAGCACTTGTTCTTCAGGTTTGGTCACTGCATTCAACGAAAAGCGCCCTGAAACAAAAACATCAACTCGAAGAGAAGAGATTGTGTATATTCACCCATAAAGACATGGCACTCCTTGAGTCACAGGCTGTGAGACTTTCGAACGCACCCAGAGGTACCACCACAAATGCGTTCACGATGCCACTAATGCAACCTGCTCCAACAAACACGTTTCACACCGCCATAGCCAGCAGACACACCTGCTTCGGCATGCCAATGTAGACTCTTGATATTCATCAAACACCTCATACCAGGAGGTTTTATCATCCCTGTCCGGTTTTAACAATCAAGAAAAAACACAACCCACCAAACTAAGGAGGAGGTAGACTTATCAGGAAAAAAAACAGCGGGAGCCACTCTCTCCCCGTCTCCCGATTCGTTTCCCCCCAGGCACCACGCACGATGCACCGCACGATGCACGATGCACGTTGGGATGCACCGATCTCGCTTTGTTGATCGTTTCATCATCGAACGTATGTCACGAAAACTAACATAGACCCTGAGAATGGCCCCATGGAAGACTATCTTCCTCTACAACCCAGTGGTTTTCAGGTTCCATGTTAGTCTTCCAGGGTGTATGTCACGGGCGTGTATCCAATACCCAAACGGTCCATGGGACTGGTATAAATGCCGATCAGGCCAGGGGTGGGCCATGAGGGTCAATGGGGCGGCATATATGCCAGTCCGATGGAGTGTCTGGGAATAAATACAGTATCTCTGCATATGAATATGGACTAGTTACCTATGATTGGGGTGGATCAATGCAGGTTTACAAACCATACATTATGGAGGTTTGTCTGGGTGTTGTGGGGTGAGGTTTTTTAAAGCTCCAAAACTTTAAACAAAGAAGTATCATGTTCATCATTGTTCATCATTCATCAGATCGTCACCTGCCGGTTTCTCTTCTAATCTCTTCCACTTGACCCACAGCCTCCACCAGCGGAATAGCCATCACCTCCGCCATCGCCAGCATTACCAGCATGTCCACCATCACCAGCTTGACCACCATCACCAGCATAGCCATCACCACCGGCGTCGCCATCGCCGCCGGCATAGCCATTGTCACCGCCGGCATAGCCATCGTCACCGCCGGCATAGCCATCGTCACCGCCGGCATAGCCATCGTCACCGCCGGCATAGCCATCGTCACCGCCGGCATAGCCATCGTCACCGCCGGCATAGCCATCGTCGCCCGCGTAGCCGTCGTCACCGCCTGCATAGCCATCGCTGCCGGTGTAGCCGTTGTCACCAGCATAGCCATCATCACCAGCATAGCCATCGTCACCGGCATAGCCGTTGTCACCGGCATAGCCATCATCACCACCTTGGTTGATAGGGGTTGGAACTCAGCCCGTGCTTGCAAATCGCTTTTTATCCCAAACCACCATGGATGGCAACAAACAGTTGGGAAGAGCAACGGTTGCGCTGATGCAGAGAAACCCTGTGTGTTATTCTAAGCTGTGTTATTTTCGGATCTGTGCTACTTTTGGTGTAGTTCTCTGCCTACACAGTGACGGACCGTGGGATGATATAATATCTGCTTTACTGTTTGTTTTTCTTTTTTTATGTTGTATGTTTTATCTCAAAGTCAAGGTTTGCTCACTAGCATCCGTTCATCTACATTCATTCAACACAAAAGCTCCTAAAACTGCCCAATAGCTCCGTATCTCGGAGAATCCGCCGAAATCCGGGGCCCCGCCGCCGTTCTGACCGTTCGCCGTTCCAACGCCCGCCTTTTGGTTCAGAACACCCGCCTGTTGCATGGTGGGGTCGTCTCCCAGCTCAAACACACCGCGTCTCCGAATGGGGCGACACCGTCTCCCACGGCGCTCCGCCGGAAATTCTGGCCATCCAAGCGACCATCAAAGCCGTCTCCCTGGGCGAGAAGAAAGAGGCCAAGTCGCGGTCGACTCGGACCGGTGAAGAAACAGCTGTGGCCAACAGCACTGGCTCTTCAAAAGGTCATACCGGCATACACACATCTGTGCTGCTTCCAGCGACCGGAAGAACAGCATGTTGGTTCTCCCTTTTTGTTTGGGGTCACATTGGAGCATCATCACATCGGTCATGCCCATCACATCGGGCAGCTCCCCTCAAACACGACTCATGTATATTTTTAGGGCACTTGGGGTGGGTGCCATGTTTGAGTCCAGTCATACCGAACCTGAGGAGGTACGACTGGAGCCCTAGGGTGTGGCATATTTACCTACATTAACCCCTTTTCAATCAACCACCCCGTATGCAAATCATGCCAGTCCCAAACAGGTCGGTGTCGGGGTCTTCTGTGTTCATGTAGACTGATCAACAAAAAGTCCCCTTTGGCACCCGGAGACGTAAAGCCACCGCGGCGTCGACGATGTGCGATGGAAACACGGACGAGCAGCCGGGCACAGAGTCCGGACGTGAAGTAAATGAAAAGCTCCAACAAAAACAACTCAAACGTAGACACCTTAGCTCCTACCAAGGCATGAAACAAAAACAACACATGGAGTCTTCTATCGCAACACGTAAACCTTTCAAACTACGGAGATGCATGTTTTTCTATAGTCTTGTTGAAAGTCAAGACCACTCAACCCATCCATCCGATTTTCCACCGATCTGTTTCTTTCCCTTAGAACCGGACCGCTTCGACCGCGCCGAGACCACGGCAGAGACCGCTGACCGCTTCGAGACGGGCGCCTGGTCATAGCCTCCATCTCCATTACTCCTTGGAGAGACATGGTACGGTCAACACTGCTGGGGACCGGTTCATAGACGAAGTGAACGAACACATGAAAACGGTGCCAGTGGGTTTCAGATGGTTTCAGGTGCCATATGTTCCAGTGGATAGCTTCTGAAGATGCCTGTGTTCTGGATCACTCAGACTGTATAAATAGTCCTTGTCCCGGTCTACCAGGGATGTCCTACATCATCCCTCCATCCGACTTCCGTGCTTCGCTTGCTTCGCTGCGAAAGCAAAGGATTCTGGTCGTTTGGGTGACCCTAGTGAAAGCCTTTTTTCGGCCCAAACAAGCGGCGCGCATCCGAGTGAATCCTGTTGGAGGACTAAGGCTCTTAGAATTGAGATATTGTGTTTGTTCTTTTGGCGCTCAAATCCACTGATCAAACATAGGGTCAGTGCAATCCAAACGCCAAACATCACCAAACCCATGCAGCTCCCCAATCCATTGGTAAAAAACATCGTTCACAACGTGATACAACGTGATTAAATTACCATCCAAGTTGCTGGGTGTCGCCCGAACCGCCGCCCCACCATTGACCTAAGACCAGCGGAAGGAGCAGCAGAAGCCATCGCGGAAGGCGCATGGTGAGACGAACCGGTCGCGCCCCTCTCCGGGGTGGAAATGTGTGCGGTGTCCCTATAGGCTTGACGCCTTGAGCCAAAGGACGCAGCCATGTTCAATGCCATCACATGAAGAGGCGGTGAACATGGACCTAGATACACCCAAACGAAGACCGGGAACAGCAAACAAAAACATATATAGGCAGGCCAAACAAACCCACAACTCTCACCATACAAATTCCATCATATCCCTGAGGTTCCATGTATGACACAGCTGCCTACGTGGGTCGAGGGAAGCTCACAAACGGCTGACGGTGATTTTTACATACGGAGGGTGTCTCAGCGTCAATGTTATCAAAGAAGAGGCACATGTTCATAGAACGTCAATAAATCTTGCGGACATTGGTGCCTCCCTGGACCATCCAAGAGGTGCCCTGTCTGGAAGCCATCCCATATTTTGGGTGGTTGGGTGGTCCAAAATAGAGGTCGGTTCCATCGGTCCGTGAATGCTGTTCGGATTTGTCAGCGGGAACCCCGCCGAAGCGGTCGTCACCCGCATGCGGGTGGTCAGTTTACTTTGTTATAAGACCGGGAGATACCGAGAGCATGTGGAGAGCAAAAACTCAGAAACAGCTGGTAATACCCAGGCCAGGACCATCCTGTCGGGGTGTCCTGGCTGGACTACCCCACACTACCTAGGATGGTCACTGGGATGGTCCTATCAAAACAAAGGTCAAGTGGGGAACCCAGGAACAGAACGACCCTGACCTGAACAAACCACCCATCTATGTTGGGACGGCACATCTTCCCTCCCAAATACCACCCCGAATCGGCGTCGGGGTCAGGGGGTTCTCACCCATCCCGGCTGCGGGATTGAGCGGCTGCGTCGAGTCGCCGCGACGCTCACGTCTGGGTCTTTTGAGGCCTTCGGCCGGTCTCTTTGCCGTAACCTCCCCGATCGGCGGATCGCCTCGTCGCGTCAAAAATCAGACGGCACGGTGCAGGAACTTCGACCGTTTTAAGCCCACTGCAAGTCTAACTTTGCAGGCTCCTAAAAGAGGTGGGCAAGTTGCTGTGGATGCATGTTATGTCCTATCCCCACAAGCGATGGCCTCCAAGCCAATAGCGATGACCTCCAACCTAATAGCAATCCATGGTTGCATGCCAATTCCTATCTATCCCCACAAGTTAAAGAGCTCAGTTGACTTGAGTTGATCATACGAATAACTTTACTTCGAATGATCCCCACCATGGCATTATACAGGGCTTTAAACGAACACCAAAAACAAGGACAAAACACAAAAGCCCAGGTGTAGGCCATAACCCCACAAACTGCCACACCGTTTCTTTCGCTTGTAGGTCGGCACTAGCCACACAGAGCAAAAGTGCCTGCTACCGCCAGCCGCAAGAACAGATACAATACCAAAGCAAGCGAAGCAGTAGGAGAAACAACAATGCTTACGTAAGCAACAACATGCAACAGCCATAAAAGAAACGGGGCCCGCTATGACTACAAAGACTGCAGCGACAGCCACAACGACAACCTCAACCACCACGGACCACCACCACCACCACCATCACCACCACCACCACCAGCAGCAGCAGCAGCAGCACCAGCACCAGCACCAGCACCACCACCACCACCATCAACAACACCACCAACAACACCAACACCAACACCACCACCACCACCACCACCGACAACAACAACAACAACAACAACAACACCAACACCAACACCAACACCACCACCACCACCACCACCACCACCAACAACAACAACAACAACAACACCAACACCAACACCACAACAGCAAAAACAGTACCCCAAAACACAGCCACTAGGGCAATTGCAAGGGAACAGCACTTGGAACAACGAGCGGACAACAAACATCCAGAACTATGAGACCCTTGTCATTTTCTCATGCGTTCTCACTCTTCCTCTCCCTCCATTCTCACACCTTTCTTCCCAAAACGAGGGGTCTCTGGTAGGAGCCTGGCAGCCTTCTCCCTACGCCCACTTAAGTTTGATATGCCCAGTTCCCCTTATCAAAGACCCGTCAAGTCCACCCGGCGCTGCGCCGAGTGGATTCGAGGTGTCTCTCCCCTCCATTTCCATGTTCTTTCTTGGACTTCTTGGAGGCTTTTTGTCCATGCATGATTGCTTCACATTCAGTTTTTGTTGCTGATAGTCGGCTCAACACGTTCATTGCTCAACACGTCACTGGTGCAGCTCAATATGATAGAGATACTTGGAAGGTGAAGCTAGATGCAGTGAACACCCGGGCTGAGTCCGGCTGGCGCCCGCTTCAGTGCCACGCATGCATTCAGACAAAAACACACTTGTTCGCAATCTGTTCATGGGAAACACACGATTTTGTCAAAGAGAAAACCCAGCAATCAAAGTCTTCTCCGGTAGATCAACTCTGCTGGGTCGCGTTGCTGGGGCCATTTCCATGGTTCCTAAATCACATGGAAACTGCGAAGGTAGTGTGCCGATACCAGCATCATCCAACAATGCAACCGTAACATAAACAAGTCAGTGTCTAGCATCTAGAGGGCCTCTATGTTTGGCCTTGATTCTTGCTTTACAGATGTAAGCCCTTCAGAACCCGGTTATACTCTGCTGTCTATCTTGCATGTATACTGGCATATAAATTGTGGCATTCTATCTGGCGGCATATTTTTGGCCCTCGCGGTTGAGGTCCGTTGATGCCCACTGCGATCTGGTACTTGTGGAGGAGGAGGTGAGGAGAGGAGGTGGAGAAGGAGGAGGAGGAAGAGGAAGAGAAAAGGTTGGCTCTGATCAAATATGATAAGATCTGTAACAATCCTCACCTGGCAGGTGAGGAGAACACTATACTCAATGACTCAATGAGATAAAGGGTTGGTTTTACTGGTGTTTGGACCTCTAGGGTCTTCTCATGTACTCTCCAATGTGGGGGGGAACCCCGACTGTGCTGCCTAGACTTTGTCACACTGCACATCCTCGGCAGCTGATTTCTGCTCATCACCCAGTCACGCGACTGGGGTGCGACGAGGGGCACAAGCGAGGATTGCTCGGTCAGGCCATCGAGCGGGGCACGACAGAAGCGAGACGGTCTTGGAAGAAGTTATTCTATAACAAACACATCCATCTGCCCAAAAGACGGATCGAGTAGAATGTTTCACATTTACATATATATATATATACACCGTATCATCACAATATATGTTTCTAAGCCTATATATAGATCGTTTTTCACAAACCTTGCCAGCAACTCACTCCGCTGGGTCAGAAGCTGTCTCCAACAAAATCCAGTGTGACGAAGATGGACCCCATATCCTTTACAACATCTCAAAGGGACCCAGACCCGCGGGATGGCAAAGATTTCAATCTCATGGAGTGTTTGGGATATTCTATATCCCAGGGCCCCTGGTAGGTGTCTGATCATAGCCCCTTAGAGGTGATTCGGGGTGTCTATTCACCACCCCTAAACAGGGGGCCCTGCTTTATAACTTGGCTTCTCCCGCATATATGTTCGATGTGGTTTTTTGGAACCTGGAAAGTTCCATCTTCCCCAGGTACGGTTTTTTTTCACCATGGGGAAAGTCAAGATCACCTGATCCGCAACATCAGCTTTTTGAGGTACATCCACTGGTGACGACCCGCGTCCCGGTCTCTCCCGCTCGATCCTGAAGGCGACCTTCGGATGCAACGGTTCTGTGGGCGGTCACCGATGCCCGTTCTGCAGCGAAGGAGATCGTTTCACTCGTTGTCCGCCCTGTTTCTCGCCAGTTGAAGCACAGCAGTTAGCACAAAAGAAGCCCATGTGATGTACCAGTTGATGTTTTTGGTGGTCGAACGCAGTTCCAGGTAGTTTATAAGCACAGCTACATCATCTTCATGATCGGATCGACACAGTTTACCCGTCTTAGTCTTCTAGTGAGCATACTTGGAACCGGTGGAAAAGCCCTTCAAAGCCCTGAGCTCTGGACCAATGCTGCAAGCTTTGACCAATGACTCCATGTAGACGGTTGATGAATAAACGCGGTAGAGGTCCCAAAGGTTTAAGGGTTATGGCATCTGCCATGGTCAAGGCGCCATCAGGTCTTGCACACCAGTCAATGGAAAGACTGTTGCGCCAGTTGCCCCATGTCTTGCTGCTTCATTTTGCTTGAGGAGCAGGCCTAGCAGCCTAGCACGTGTTTGACCATGTTTACTCCTCATCATCTCGAGTTAGGGAACCCTCAACAAACGTCAACAAACGTGTGTTCCCCCCGCCTTTGAAAGGTGTGTGCTGGCGCGTCCATCGCCACGGATGGTCGATCTTTCGAGCTGACTACGCCCAGCAAGCTGGGAGCTGCTACTCCTTCGAGCTTCTGTTGGACCAGTGATAGCCTGCATCCTGTGATAGACCAGGTGCGAGATCCTGTTGTAGCTCACATGAGCTGGCTTCCTGGTTGGCCAAGATGTTCACCATGTAGTTCGATATGTTGCACAAGCCTTGCAGTATCTTAGCAGTGGATATCATGTCTTACTCATCAAACATCTTCTTTGATGGTCTTTCCAACCCAAACATCAAGGCTGAAGCGTCGGTCTAACAACGGCCGAACGCCGCCAGAACCATGTCACCAGGTCGTCCGAAGACTTGTTTTTCCATGGGCCGACCTGGTCTTTTCGACATGTCTTGATCATTTCTGCACTGCCAAAGCATGTTATACGTTTTATTTCTTCATATATTGTACAAGAATTCTTTGTCTTTATCTTGTGACAAGTTCCAATAGAAGACAACTGGTAACCTGCCAAACAGTTCTCCTATAGGTAGAAACGGTTCTATTACATCTTTAGAGGAGATCGAACATTTTGTGTTCTGCACGTTTCAAGGTTGATAGGATTGTGGCATGTGGGTTCTGAGGTGGTTTCTTCTGAGAAGAGGTATCCTATGATCTACGAAGAGGCAATGGAATGAGGCAATCATATTTACGTCTACATTTGGATATTTGGGGGGTCGGGGCGGCAGTCCGGCAGTCCCATGGACATCTGGGATTGGGTCCAAAAACAGATGGAAATCCCCTACCACGTCCAGTGGCACGTTTCGGTTCGGACGTCCGATGGCGACTGGAGACCGGATCCGAACCTGAGGAGCGGTATGTGGTCCCTGGACCCAGTGGAGGATGGGGATGTTGCAGGACATCCATCCATCAATCGAACCCCAAGATCCTCTGCAGGTTTACTAGGACACCCCCAACGACCAGTGATCCCATGTCCAGCACCTTCA